TCTTCGTAGAGGTAAGCTTTGTAATCGGGGTGAGGCTCAAACCCCCCACGCTTAAGTATGCCCCTAGGGGCCGTCTATAAATGACGTCACACCTAGGGGTGGGGGGGGGGGGTCAGACATTTGTGACGAGGTCTTTTTGGTTGGGGTAGTATGGGTTTCTCTCCTCAGCTCCACCTCTGAAATTGTCATCTGGATCTACAACGTCTTCCTCGCTCTCTGACTTACTGCTCTCTTCTAAAGACGGCTGCTCTCTCTCCGGAGGAGTGGGTAGGGGAGCTCATGGCAGTGTGGCACCGGGGCGATGGATGAAGGAAGGTGCAGATACGTGATAGCAGGTGCATTCTTGCCAGTCCAGCGTTTGGAAGAGTCCACTATGCAGAAGTAGCAGTTGCTTGAGCGGTCAGTAGGTTCCCGACAAATTCTTGGGATAGCGAACTTCATGGCTCTCATTTCCCCTCTGTACCATCCTACAAAAATACATTTATTTCACCCATGACTTATGTGTAAGAGATTATCGCAAAATTTTTCACATATATTTTTTCAATAACATTGAAAATATATAAAATAAAAAACTTTAACTATATTTTTTTAACAAATTGTATAACATGAATTTCCAAGCAACAATTGTCCATCTTACCTTCCAGAGTTTTTTGCATTGCTCGCAGGTGAAATGAGGTGCCCAGGTTTGTCTTGATCCCCGACAGTCATGCCAAAATATGCCTTGTAGGCCTCACACATCTTAGCAAATGCGTCCACAGAGTACTTTTTCGCTTTTGTCTTGATAAATTGACCGCAGACATCGCAAAATGCGTCTGCCGGATGCTTGCAGCCTCTTGATGCCATCTCAGAAAAATGCAGATATGTATCCACTTAGGCAGCTGGAAGTAAACTGAACTGGTGGGCTTAAGGCCCCTGTATTTATACTACTATTTATATTACTGGGAAGTTCTTGAATGTTCTAGAAGTTACTCCAAGTTTACTCAGCACTGAATCTATCTGGAATGTTCGGGAAAATAGGTAAATGTCTAAATATCACTGTCCTGGTCACAAAAGCAAAGTTTGTGGGGAATAATAGCCATTTTCTGTACTTTTGAGGCATAAGCAATTAGGAAATAACACTTACTACCCAGGAACAAACATAAATAAATGTTCCGGTGTCATATATGCATTGTCTTTGAAACGGATTGGTTTACACCAGAGATGGCCTTTATGGCATAGTCTCACCAATGCCAGACCAGAGAACGCCAAAAGACGACCAGTGGATATATGACAGCATTTATACTGGTAGGAACCTCCTGGTTACACCAGCCCACAGGGGATTATTGTGTCCGTCCGTCGTGCATCAAAAAATAGGAGGTGCTGGGTGGGAGGTGGGAGAGGTGGGGCTGGGTGGGGAGGAACTGGTCACCCCGTGGTGCCCTTATAAAACTTAACGTTTAACCTACTCACGCCGGCTTGTGCCCGCCCTCACAGTCGGGCATATTTGCGGAATACACCACGCCGCCGTTGACCCTGGCCATTGACCGAGCAACCCAACGTTCCTACCAGCTCCCTCCGCAGGAATGTGTAATCTCGGGGTCACCCTGCACCACAGCTCTCGTCAATATTTAAGTTTTTTCCATCGTGATGAATGTAGCGGCCACTAGTGGCTGCAAGGGGGTACATAAATACATAGACCAGTGGAATCCAACTCCCTGGACCTTGCGGATCGCTGTAAACCCTCAATATTACCATCCTGTAAATCGTGGCGTCTGCTTCTACCACCGATTTGAAACCAGAGAAAAAGTATCTCAAAGGGGAGCGCGGTGGCAAAGTGGTTAGCGCACTGCACTCTGAATCGTACACAGACGTACCGTAGAGACTGTTTTTACAACAACAAAAAACACAAAGGGAGCGGGAATGATATTTGTGTTTATTTATAAGAACGTATGACATACATTCTCTATACTGCACATACACCGCTAAATTGGCAACTGCAAGGAGCCTGTAACCGTGGCAGACAGTTTTGAAAGCGAGACAGGACGCAGCTTATAGCCTCTCTGTGAATTCCAATATCTTCCACGGTTAAAAATCAGTTGTCAATAAGCTTAACTCGGAGTTAAACACTACACAAAGTACATTCACTGCTCAATCCAGCAGATGCAGCAGCTAACTCGGAATCGAGCGGACTTGGAGCTTGCCGACTTTCTATCAGCTTCAAAAGCCACGGGAGACGCATTACTCGATTAACCAATGATTGGTGGAAATCGCAAATCATTTTTAAATCCTTTATATTAAGTTCACTTGCTTGCGCGCTTACGACCGTGCAAATCTTTCGGTCGTTTTTTAACCCACTTCCCGTGATCAAATCGAGCTGACATTTTGCACACAGACTCGTTGTGCGTGACAATTTATTTTCGTAAAAATTTTTTCCCAAAATTTTACACTTTGTAGGAAAAAATAAATTATATTTAATTACCAATTGCTTAATGGTGGCAGGCAATCATCTGACCCATAGATGGCAGCCATCTCAAGCCAGAGGACGAGAGGACTCTAGCCGCCAAGCATATAAAGGATTTATAGTGAAAAACTTTGTTTTTACGGGTTAATTTTTTGCGATTGTTGAGCACGAGATACGCAAGCGAGCTTCAGGATGGCCATGCCCTCCGGGGTGAAACCCATCCACCTCCTCCAAGCCATGCGAGTTCGTGGGGGCAGAATTCAAAAGTTGGTTTTCAGATCGTTGCGGTCTTAAGCAGAGACTCAACAACGGTTGTGCCAACATTTAGCTTCCTAGCCCCTTTTAGAACACCATTTCAACTTAACCTCAATCTGTTATAATTCATTTGCAATGTGTGGCTACGTACGGCGCGAAATAAGTTTTACATACACAACGGTCACTGGGTTTCTGATAAATAGGACAAATGACAGGGCACTTATATATGCATACGTTCAGCCCTTTATCAATCCACCACTGGACAAGGCCTCCCAACGGTGTTCTCGGTCATCGGGGTTATTTGACCATACTTCACCACGCTAGTGTCGGTGCGTGCTGGTGAAGACAGTGACCCAGGGCCGGTTCAGAGGTCACTCGCCAACTGGTGTTAGCCCTGGCCCACAATCAAACTTTGATCGCCGGGTTTACAGCGGAGTGCGCTAACCACTGCACCACTGGTCTCAACCCCTAACGGCACTTATTTTGGGTGGTAAGGTGAATTGTATAATCGATATTTTCTGTAATTGTGATGTTTGATGGTGTTGCTGCAATGTTTGTTTTTTTGTGTGCGCAGTAAAAATGTGTTCAGATCATGAACTAAGCCCTCTTTTTCAACGTACATTGATTATATATTTTACTAGGCTGGGACATCTTCATGCATTTCATGAGGTACAGTATTTTAGGGAGAGTAATGCCATTATTAGCCCAAAAAATCCTCACGGAGTCTCTCAAGACTTGTATTCAGGAGAGTCCTGCGACATTGGGCACCACCAGTGGCGAGATGTTGCGTCCCTCGCCTGGTACGCAGGAGGTCGTGGGTTTCATCCCAACCCTGATGATGCCTCTTCTTGGTTCTTTCGGTAAAGTCACGTAGAAGGGAAGTAATAAAATAATAAAAATAAAACATAATAAAATAATTCTCACGACGTTTCGGCTACAACGCAAGCAGCCGTCTTCAGGTGAAGAATGAGACACTACCAAACTAGGAGCTTATATATAAGCTTATATATAAGCTCCTAGTTTGGTAGTGTCTCATATATATAAGCTTATATATAAGCTCCTAGTTTGGTAGTGTCTCATTCTTCACCTGAAGACGGCTGCTTGCGTTGTAGCCGAAACGTCGTGAGAATTATTTTATTTTTATTATTTCTACGTGACTTTACCGAAAGAACCAAGAAGATGAATCCCTGCAGTCACGAAAGCTTTAAATCGAAACTGATGATGCCTGTTGTAATATTTGGAGTCCACGTGATCTCTCTCTCTCTCTTCGTGATGGTCGCATGGATTTTTCATGGGTCTTCTGGTTGTGCCCTCCACATTTAGAAGCATGTGTTTAGATGATTTGGCTACAATACATTCCCACGTTTGATGATGATAAGCCACTTATATGAGCTCGCACGTGTGATCAGGTCACCTCAGTGGGCCTTACCTGGTAAAATAAAAGTTTATCTTCTTGGTTCTTTCGGTAAAGTCACGTAGAAGGGAAATGATAAAATAATAAAAATAAAACAATAAAATACAATTCTCACGACGTTTCGGCCACAACGCAAGCAGCCGTCCTCAGGTGAAGAACAGGGCTGTCGGAAAGACAGCGTCCAAATGAACACCACCAAGCTTGGCAGCGTATATTTAAGCTGGGTTAGAGGAGGAGGGCGCCTTGACAAAGGAATTTACGACAGCCCTGTTCTTCACCTGAGGACGGCTGCTTGCGCTGTGGCCGAAACGTCGTGAGAATTTTTTTTTATTATGTTTACATTTTATTATTTTATTATTTCCCTTCTACGTCACTTTACCGAAAGAACCAAGAAGATGAATCCCTGCAGTCACGAAAGCTTTAAATCGAAATAAAACAGTTTAGTTTAGAGTGTCTGGTTTGTGAGAGGAATTTGGGAGTACCCAGCAAAAACATGAATGGGCGATTGTTCAATCTTCTGGCCAAATATCACAACTTCATCCCTACAACACCTGGCAAGCCCTGAGGTGGTTGCCCATGCACAAATTAACCGGGCTCAAACCTTGCTAAAGATTCCAGCGATTTGGCTGGAGACATTGATCGAACTCTTTTAAAATACATTACGAGTACGGTAGGCCCGTCACGACGCTTCGATTCACGCAAGCAAAACCGATTCTTCCGGTCGCAATGCATGCATCGAATCATGCATGTGAGAATAACTCATTTGCGTTCATAACATACATGCAAATCATACGCTCATTCGGGCTAATGGGGCGAACGAAACTGTACAAACGGGACAGACGGTAAAAAAAAAACCGAGAAACGATAGAAACAAGACCAAAAAGACAGTCGACAAATTTGACAATGCCTTTAATCTCCGAGTGGTGGGTTTCACAACCGCTGTTGGCTGCTGGCCATCGAACAAAGATGGTCACCGCATCGCACGGCGCTTTCAGATGCGCTTCTGCGGCCGTCTGGAACGCTCTTCCTTCTGATATTAGGAAGCCGCCGGAGCTATGCACTTTTAAATCTCGATTGAAAACTCATTGCTTTAGAACTGCTTTTTGTGTTCTTTAGTTTGTTGTCCTTCCGCCCCCCGCCGCCTCCGATCAGCACGGGTGGCTACGTACGGTGGCGAGAGAAGTTCAACATATACGTACGTACACACGCATGAGCTTCACCGTTTGGCAGAACTCCCAACGCTTGCGTTGTGATTCACACGACAATGGATGCAGCTGAGTGACGGCGCACAGCGCGCTGCACAGAGCCTAAGTTCGAATGCAGGAAATCCGCCCGCAAACGACTGCGTAAACAACCCGTAGGATCACATTTACACTAAAATTTGGATACATTCCAGCTTTGAGGATTAGTGTGGGCAAGTACACTCACCAGTGTGTAAAGAACTGAGAGGGCCCTTAACTGACGCAAAGTGCACCACATAAATAAGGAGCGAGTCACGCTAGGGGATCTCAGATGGAGCTCTGTAATATCCGCTTCTGTGGATGGTGTGTGGCCCACTGCTCTGCGAGTTTTTCGATTTTACTCCGTGTCTCGTGGCGCGACGGCACGATCGGGATTGCGTTGGGAGAAAAATCCAAAACAGAAAAAGCACGCGTCACACGCTCGTGCGACCTCCACTGAGGATTTGACTGCGGATACGGGTGGCTGGGTCGCTCCGCGTGTCGCTCCGCGTGTCGCTCCGCGTGTCGCTCCGCGTCAAACGCTCGCCGGGTCCAGCGAACGCAGCTTCCACTCGGTGCTCCTGCTGAGCCGCGGAGCGGTGAGAGATTCGTCGTCTGCGAAAGGAGAGCGGCGGCAGCGGCGGCGTTGGACGCGACTCCCAACATGAGGTGTAGCCCCACAGAGATGGGGGGTGCCGCCACTGGGCGTGCCCCCTTTCAAATGTGTGCGAGATGAGATGTGATGTTAAGTGGGGAGCGGTGGTGTAGCGGTTAGCGCCTCGCTGCGCTACGAACCCGGCGACGCGAGTTCGATTGCCGCTCACTGCCAATACCAGTGACCATGATCTGAACTGGTTCTGGGCCTTCCCTAGGTTGACTCAGCCTCAAATGAGTACCTGGTGTGGTGTGTAAACATCACCATTGCGGAGACAAAGATGGCCGGGCGTGGTGTTGGCCACCGACCCCCTCGTGTGCCGTGCCGGCCTTCATAGGTGCTCGCTAACAGCACTTGCCCCAACAGTCTGTTCAGGCTACACGGGGGATCTTTGTCTTTGTTTTTTATGTTAAGCCCTCTGAGATGCCTCCAGAGTATAAAAGGGGCACTATCAAAAATAAATCGCGATCGTCGATTGAAAATAAAAACTACAAACTGACAAAGGTAAAGGTGGAGGATTGCAATTGACTTGCTCCTGCCACTGTTGGGGGTAAGGCCTCATCAAGGAATGAGCTCTGGAGAGCCCCCTCTAAGAGGGTAGTTGGCCTACTCTTCCACACTGACTGGGAGTAACCACATTTTGCTCCACCACACACGACCGACCAATCAACTGTAGTGAGCCACCTTGCTGTGCTGGGTGGGCAGGGGTGGTGTTGGATTCAACAAACTTTGGCTGCTATAAACTTCTCCCATTGTTTGAAGTGCCATGCCAGGTGATTGAATCCGGCTCACTTCTGGGTTGCCACGGTAGGGAGATGTTAACTACCTTACCTAGTCTTCTTGGTTCTTTTGGTGACTTTACCGAAAGAACCAAGAAGATGAATCCCTGCAGTCACAAAAGCTTTAAATCGAAATTTTACCTTACCTAGTATACAGGAGGTCGTGGGTTCCATCTCAAACCTGACACCTGCATATTTTGAGTTTGCGTGTCTCTCCCTGTGGTCGCGTGGATTTTTTTCCGGGTTCCCCGGATTTTCCCTCCACATTTAGAAACAACATCACGCATTTAGAGTATTTGGCTGCTATACATTTCCACGTGATAAGCCACCTCACTGAGGTATCATTTGTGGCCAGGTTGCTTCTGAAAAAGAGCTACATAGCTCAGTGGGTCTTATCTGGTAAAATATAAATAGTTTAGTTTAAATTTTGATTTAAAACAATAAAAATTCTCACGACGTCGAAAAGTCGTGAAAATTTTTATTGTTTTATATTTATATTATTTTATTATTTCCCTTCTACGTGACTTTACCGAAAGAACCAAGAATAGTTTAGTTTTGTTACAAACCGAAAGACGATACCACGAACAAAAATAAATGCACAAAACTGAGGGAAAGTCAGCAAGAAGAAACACAATGAATGTATCACTACAAGCACAACAGGAGGGGAACACAATGCACACACATTAATTTATCGCTAATGTAGCAAATTAACGACGTAGCAAATAAAAACTTAGTTTAACGACGAGCATCTTAAAAGCACTTTTAAAAGTCACACAACATGCCAACGGCAAAACCAGCCCGTGGCGATACCAACCTTCCTGACCAAGGCTCGTTTCCCTGGGCTGACTCAGAGACGCTGCAATGCTGTTCACAGTTGAGTCCGGTCCAAACACCTGCAGGCCACCACAGGTTTGAGAACAACCGTCATTGTTAGCAACAGCAGCAGCAAAAATCAATGACGGTTATGACGATATCTGTACGAGGGGATAATCTCTCCACGTACTCCTCCTTGATGGCTCCACCAATTTCAATGTAAATTTAAAGATTATTACGTTCAAACACTTAATAATGGGAGTTGGCCCAATACCATCAATGTAGGACCACAGAACTTGGGCAATTGTTGGCGCCAGGTCTGGCCGCCTTCCCCTCTGGTCTGTGGTTTTCTCCTTCCAACCCACACCTTCGATATACGATTTATATTCGCATCTTTGCTGTATCTCATTTTTACTTTGTTTTGGCCTTTGTCATTTTCGTGACCTAGGGGATTCTTTTCTGCGGCCGTCTGGAACGCTCATCCTTCCGATATTACGAAGTCGCTGGAGCTATGCCACTTTTAAATCATCGAGATTGAAAACTCATTTCTTTATAACTGCTTTTTGTGTTTAAATTGTTGTCCTTCACCCCCACACCTCCGATTAGCACGGTTGGCTACGTTCGGTGATTAAGTTCAATATACAGATGCAACTTTCACGGACATGGCTATATAAAAATGAACAATATTATTTATTTATTAATTCATACATTTACATCATCGTTAAGCTTATGGGAACGTTGTTGAAATAACAAAGCATGTGACCTTTCACTAAATAATTTGCCAAATTCGTTTTGTCGGCCCCAGCGATAGGCCAAATTAACCACTGCACAACTCTCCTAAGTGTGCCAACGACACTGCATTGTTGTTGCTTACCAATGAAGCAAATAAAACAATGAATACTTAATCACACCTTGCCGTACATATATAATGTACTTGTTGTAATTATTGCGACTGTCTCTTGTCAAGAAAACCTGGATATCTTTGTGACCCGTGCCTCGCTCTTTCCTGGCCGTGACCGTTATGGAGGACACGTGGCGTGGGCGGTCATCAATGAATGGTGAAGTAAAAGTTGTGGTAGCACGCCGTGCGTTGTTTTCCCTTGGTTACACTGCGCGATCGTCTTTATTCGTCAACCGCGACACGACTCGGCTCTTGCTCCCCAACACCAGCCACGCGCACACACAAGGGGCTTCCTGAGCGGGTGACTAGGTTCCAAACGGCATCTGTTTATTCGTACGGCTCCCGGCACGTAGGTACGCCAACGGACCCTGTAATATCAACGTGTTGGCATCACGATTGGCCTCTGATACGGGGCCTCCCTTTCGTCAAGATCCCTTATCCGGTGGTCGCGTGACTCAATTATAATTTTTTTGTTCACACTGATGCTGCGGGCATTTTTCAGAGCCCGTAAATCAACTGCACGTTGACATGTGCTTCGTTGTGGAATACGCCATCAAATCGCGGCTGCCGACGGTTGGACACAAAATTCGCTGCCCTCCTGAGAACCCGATTTAAGCACAGGTGGCGGAAACCCAACATTTAAGAACCTCAATTCAAACCCAGGAACCTTAGCAGGGTGGGATCGGAGTCACCTAGCCACCTCGGATGAAATTAAGGGATCATTAGAATGGATTTAACAGAGGCGAGATGTTAACTACCTCGGAGGTCGTGGGTACAATCCAAACCCTGATGCCTGTATATTTTGGAGCTTGGATGTTCTCCCCGTGGTCTTGTGGATTTTTCTCCGGCTGCTAGAAATTTCCACATGATAAGGCGCTTTGTTGAGCGATCATTTGTGGCCAGGTCACTTCTGAAAACGAGCTACTTAGCTCAGTGGGTATTCCGTGGTCAAATTAAAATAGTCTTGTATATTTTTCGATTTAAAGCTTTCGTGACTGCAGGGATTCATCTTCTTGGTTCTTTCGGTAAAGTCACGTAGAAGGGAAATAATAAAATAATAAAAATAAAACATAATAAAATAATTCTCACGACGTTTCGGCCACAACGCAAGCAGCCGTCCTCAGGTGAAGAACAGGTCTGTCAGAAAGACAGCTGGCTCCGAACCGAAGAACAGGGCTGTCATTCAGACGCTGTCTTTCTGACAGACCTGTTCTTCACCTGAGGACGGCTGCTTGCGTTGTGGCCGAAATGTCGTGAGAATTATTTTATTATGTTTTATTTTTATTATTTTATTATTTCCATTCTACGTGACTTTACCGAAAGAACCAAGAAGTCTTGTATATTTCTTGAACGTGGCCTTTAGAAAATAATGCGTTTCAAAAGCACTTGTTTCAATTTAGTAATTCTCTCGAAGTTCTATGCCGATTGCTATCGGTGTCACGACGCATAACTAATGATTAATTCTGATCCCTCACACAGCATTGTGCGAGAGAACAGCCCGTGGAAGTGGATATTGCAGAGCTGCCTCAGAGATCCCTTCAAATGACCTCTGGGTCGACACAGTAGAAGGTAGAAGCACTTTAGAACCCAGGGAATGAAATCAAGTCAAAAAGCGAAATTCGTCTACGCCGCTGCGGTGTCTTCACGCGGCCGCTGTGGCCACTGTGGCCGTACCGGAGCGACTGACGCGGCCGTCGGAGGCCACACTTCAGGAAGGGCCCTCTCGACCCGCAGCAGAAGGGAACTCAGCTCGGCCTGGAGCTCCAGACCCTCGGACTCCCAATCGAAGAGCAGCAGCATCCTCAGCAGGGGCCCCACCTCGGCTAGAGGGACCAGGCACGCAGGATCAGCAGCAGCACTATCACTTCTCCACCACCAACACCACCGTCCCCATTATCGTCATCATCATCATCACCATTAGGCGTCAATAATTCTATACGAGCCTATGGGTCTCTATGTAAGTCTATGGGGCTCTTTATAAGTCTGTGGGTTTCTATGTAAGTCTGTGCGTATCCATGTAAGTCTATGAACCTACAACCCGTGATGCACCCGGCCACCTCTAACCTTATCTAGAGTACGGTAAACATTTACAATGCAAGTCCTTCCAGTCGCCTATTTAGCCGTTACACGGATGGCGAGCTACTGGGTGCTGTCGACCTCTGGGCCCATGTTGAACAACCACGATTATTATTCTTACACGCTTTTATTTAACTCACTCTGTCTCTTGTCGTTGTTGTCGTTGTATCCTCAAATCTTGTAACTCAATTTTAACCCACTTCCCAATGTGGTATCGACTGCAAGAACTTGGTATACTTATGTCATACTGATGACAATACTATATTCTATCATTAAAATATATATTTTTAAACATTTTTTTAATATGTTATGTTTTGACTTGGGTCTAATTGTCCACGGTAACCTGACGTTGGCTGTAATTGGCAACGGTCCCTTACGTTATGGCAAGCTTCGGGGCCACTTCCATTACTACAGTACATTCATGTTTATGATGTGACGATCGATCTACTGCTGGATAAAATAAAATTTGGTTACAATATTTGATGACACAAAAAAGTACAAAATAATATATATTTAAAAAAGCGTTTTTTTAAATATATTATTATTTTTATTCCGGTGGCGAGGTGGGGCGGGTGGCGGCACACCTTTCCACACACGCTACTATGAGACTGCCTCACGACATTCTCACCGATATTTCTATTCGTTCCCACGGCAGGGCTTTCGGCAAATGTACGTACGTATCGCGTGAACATTAACGAGTCGTTGACCCGCCACCACCCGACACAACCAATTAGTAAGATCAGTCGTTGTAAATAAAACATGCCAATTAGTTACTTGCTTCAGCACACCGGTGTGTTAGATAATAAACCCACAAAACGTACAATTTGAGCACGCTGGCGATTACAACTAGCTTCGTCAGGCGATGTCAAAATTGTGAAGAAGCCTTTTCTTAGTTTCAGTCATAAATAGAGAAGCAAAAGTGATACCGTCACTGCGAGCCTATATATGTACATTGAACTTTTTCGCACCGTACGTAGCCAACCGTGCCAATCAGAGGGCGCGGGTCACATGAGACGCCAAAGGAGAAGCCGCGGCCAAAGGGGGCTTCTGCTCGAGTTCGTTGCAAGATGCGCGCTAGCGCACTCACTAGCGCTCTCACACTGCCTAGCGCTCTCGCCCTCGCACTCGCTAGCGCCCTCGCACTCGCTAGCGCGCTCGCACTCGCTAGCGCGCTCGCACTCGCTAGCGCCCTCGCACTCGCTAGCGCCCTCGCACTCGCTAGCGCCCTCGCACTCGCTAGCGCGCTCGCACTCGCTAGCGCGCTCGCACTCGCTAGCGCGCTCGCACTCGCTAGCGCCCTCGCACTCGCTAGCGCCCTCGCACTCGCTAGCGCCCTCGCACTCGCTAGCGCGCTCGCACTCGCTAGCGCGCTCGCACTCGCTAGCGCGCTCGCACTCGCTAGCGCGCTCGCACTCGCTAGCGCCCTCGCACTCGCTAGCGCGCTCGCACTTGCTAGCGCCCTCGCACTCGCTAGCGCCCTCGCACTCGCTAGCGCCCTCGCTAGCGCGCTCGCACTCGCTAGCGCGCTCGCACTCGCTAGCGCGCTCGCACTCGCTAGCGCCCTCGCACTCGCTAGCGCCCTCGCACTCGCTAGCGCCCTCGCTAGCGCGCTCGCACTCGCTAGCGCCCTCGCTAGCGCGCTCGCACTCGCTAGCGCGCTCGCACTCGCTAGCGCCCTCGCACTCACTAGCGCCCTCGCTAGCGCGCTCGCACTCGCTAGCGCCCTCGCACTCGCTAGCGCCCTCGCACTCGCTAGCGCCCTCGCACTCGCTAGCGCCCTCGCACTCGCTAGCGCCCTCGCTAGCGCGCTCGCACTCGCTAGCGCGCTCGCACTCGCTAGCGCCCTCGCACTCGCTAGCGCCCTCGCACTCGCTAGCGCCCTCGCACTCGCTAGCGCCCTCGCTAGCGCCCTCGCACTCGCTAGCGCCCTCGCACTCGCTAGCGCGCTCGCACTCGCTAGCGCCCTCGCACTCGCTAGCGCCCTCGCACTCGCTAGCGCCCTCGCACTCGCTAGCGCCCTCGCACTCGCTAGCGCCCTCGCACTCGCTAGCGCCCTCGCTAGCGCGCTCGCGCCCTCGCTAGCGCCCTCGCACTCGCTAGCGCCCTCGCACTCGCTAGCGCCCTCGCACTCGCTAGCGCCCTCGCTAGCGCGCTCGCACTCGCTAGCGCGCTCGCACTCGCTAGCGCCCTCGCACTCGCTAGCGCCCTCGCACTCGCTAGCGCCCTCGCTAGCGCGCTCGCACTCGCTAGCGCCCTCGCTAGCGCGCTCGCACTCGCTAGCGCCCTCGCTAGCGCGCTCGCACTCGCTAGCGCGCTCGCACTCGCTAGCGCCCTCGCACTCGCTAGCGCCCTCGCTAGCGCCCTCGCACTCGCTAGCGCGCTCGCACTCGCTAGCGCCCTCGCACTCGCTAGCGCGCTCGCACTCGCTAGCGCCCTCGCACTCGCTAGCGCCCTCGCACTCGCTAGCGCGCTCGCACTCGCTAGCGCTCTCGCACTCGCTAGCGCGCTCGCACTCACTCTCGCTCTCACACTCGCTAGCGCGCTCGCACTCGCACTCGCTAGCGCGCTCGCACTCGCACTCGCTAGCGCGCTCGCACTCGCTAGCGCTCTCACACTCACTCTCGCACTCGCTAGCGCTCTCGCACTCGCTAGCGCTCTCGCACTCGCTAGCGCTCTCGCACTCGCTAGCGCTCTCGCACTCGCTCTCACACTCGCTCTCGCACTCGCTAGCGCGCTCGCACTCGCTAGCGCCCTCGCACTCGCTAGCGCCCTCGCACTCGCTAGCGCACTCGCCCGGCATACCTGTGCTGGCGTCGACGGCGCGCGCGATGTCGCCGATGGCGCCCAGCAGGGCCGGCTCCTCGCTGGGGCTGCCCTCCCGCAGGCTGTGCCGCTTGCGCGCCGCCTTCCTGCGGTTCTTGGACGACCGCCTGCGCAAGCGTTCGGTGACTTGCAGCGTGTCTGTGGGTCTCTGTGCGAGTCTCTGGGTCTTTGTAAGAGTCTGTGGGTCTCTGTGCGAGTCTGTGGGTCTTTGTAAGAGTCTGTGGGTCTTTGTAAGTGTATGTGGGTCTCTGTGCGAGTCTGTGGGTCTTTGTAAGAGTCTGTGGGTCTCTGTGCGAGTCTGTGGGTCTTTGTAAGAGTCTGTGGGTCTTTGTAAGTGTATGTGGGTCTCTGTGCGAGTCTGTGTCTCTGTGCAAGTCTGTGTGTCTCTGCGCGAGTCTGTGCGTCTCTGCGCGAGTCTGTGGGTCTCTATGTGTGTCTCTGGTCTCTATGCGAGTGTACGAGTCTCTATGCGAGTGTACGAGTCTCTATGGTAGTCTGTGGGTCTATGCGAGTGTACGGGTCTCTATGGTAGTCTGTGGGTCTATGCGAGTGTACGGGTCTCTATGGTAGTCTGTGGGTCTCTATGCGAGTGTACGGGTCTCTATGGTAGTCTGTGGGTCTCTATGCGAGTGTACGGGTCTCTATGGTAGTCTGTGGGTCTCTATGCGAGTGTACGGGTCTCTATGGTAGTCTGTGGGTCTATGTGAGTGTACGGGTCTCTATGGTAGTCTGTGGGTCTCTATGCGAGTGTACGGGTCTCTATGGTAGTCTGTGGGTCTCTATGCGAGTGACGTGGCTCTCGTACCCGGAGATGCGCGAGTTGCTCTGCGAGTACTTGGAACTGAGCACTCCGCTGCTCGCAACGCTGCTCGCAACGCTGCTCGCGTCCGAGTACAAATCGCACTCCGGTCCCTCGTCGTTTCCTCCATCGGCTAAAAAAAGAAAAACGCAATCGTTACATTTTCAGTGAAAACATAGCAATACAAATCAGGAAGAAAAATCACGAATACGCATGGATTCTGCAACGCTGCACGACAATGCATCTGCGCTTTATAATTTTCGCCGCGAGCCCGCGAACGCGCGATGACGGCGCTCGGCGCGACGGCCTCACCCAGGAGGTCGTGTCGCGCCCGCTCCTTGTCGGCCCGAACCACGGCGAGCCGCGCCACGTGGCGCTCAAACAGCGCCGCCTGCGCCCTCACGCTGGCCATCTGCTGGCCGTGCGCTTTGCCCGACGGGAGGGTCGAGAGGGTCGAGAGAGAGACAACGCCAGGGGGCCTCGATTAGCGCGGCGATACAAGCCACGGGGGGGCGTGAGCGCGGCCGTTGGATCCGGTCAAGCGCTGCGCATGGCGTGGCACCACCAACCACACCGAGCGTACGACGCACAGAAGCCTTTCTTGAGACCACCGATTCACACGGGTTCATTTTGTAGTTTTTGTAAACACGGCACCATGACGAAGACGAGCGTGGGAATGAAACGTCAGAGACTGCAAGTTGCAGGGTGGGACCTGTTCACCGCTGAATGTCAGAACGCAGAAGCGGTTCAGCATACATTTCATTTAGGGAGGCATAGCGCCGTTTTTTTAAAGACGTCCTACTCACCGCAGAGAACCGTGGCGACACGACCGCACTTTATAACAACTGTGCCACACGCCCTCCCGCATGGCCTTGCGGGAGCCTCAGTACCGACAAAGTTCCATTGATCTTCTTGGTTCTTTCGGTAAAGTCACGTAGAAGGGAAATAATAAAATAATAAAAATAAAACATAATAAAATACAATTCTCACGACGTTTCGGCCACAACGCAAGCAGCCGTCCTCAGGTGAAGAACAGGGCTGTCGGAAAGACGCTGTCTGCACCTGAGGACGGCTGCTTGCGTTGTGGCCGAAACGTCGTGAGAATTGTATTTTATTATGTTTCATTTGTTTTATTTATTATTTCCCTTCTACGTGACTTTACCGAAAGAACCAAGAAGATGAATCCCTGCAGTCACGAAAGCTTAAAACCGAAATTTAAAGTTCTATTATTTTTTATTCCACTTCCATCCTGATAGTGTACACGTACGTCATCGGAATGGGAAAGGGTTACTCGGGCCCATTCCAACGAGCGCACACACAGCATCACGAGCAGGTGCGGCGAGAAGGGACTGGGCCTCGCCTGTCATGCCGACGGCCACGTCGCCAGCGGGCGAAAGGCGACGGGCGCGCGCGTTTATCACGTACCTTCCTTCACCGCCGGCTTCAGGTTGGTCTCCAGCAGATCCAGTCGGTTGTGTTTGTGGATCTAACGTGGGCGCGTGCGGTCAACAGGAGCGGAAACAAATCGAGGATTAACTTAATTTGTATATGGTTGTGCTTTTTATATGGTAAAGAGTTGTACAATTGGGAATAAAAAAAATATCTGGTGTTTTGTTAAACAGACCGTGGCATCTGCAGCAGTTGCGGGGACCATACCAGTCATCCACCAGTGGACTACCAGTGGACCGCCAGTGGACCGCCAGTGGACCACCAGTGAACCACCAGTGGACCACCAGTGGACCACCAGTGGACCACCAGTGGACCACCAGTAGACCACCAGTGGACCACCAGTGGACCACCAGTAGACCACCAGTGGGCCACAAGTGGACCACCAGTGGACCACCAGTGGACCACCAGTAGACCACCAGTGGACCACCAGTGGACCACCAGTGGACCACCAGTGGACCACCAGTGGACCACCAGTGGACCACCAGTAGACCACCAGTGGACCACCAGTAGACCACCAGTGGACCACCAGTAGACCACCAGTAGACCAACAGTAGACCACCAGTGGACCACCAGTAGACCACCAGTGGACCACCAGTAGACCACCAGTGGACCACCAGTGGACCACCAGTGGACCACCAGTAGACCACCAGTAGACCACCAGTGGACCACCAGTAGACTACCAGTGGACCACCAGTGGACCACCAGTGGACCACCAGTAGACCAACAGTAGACCACCAGTGGACCACCAGTAGACTACCAGTGGACCACCAGTGGACCACCAGTAGACCACCAGTGGACCACCAGTAGACCACCAGTGGACCACCAGTAGACCACCAGTGGACCACCAGTAGACCACCAGTGGACCACCAGTGGACCACCAGTAGACCACCAGTGGACCACCAGTAGACCACCAGTGGACCACCAGTGGACCACCAGTAGACCACCAGTGGACCACCAGTGGACCACCAGTGGACCACCAGTGGACCACCAGTGGACCACCAGTAGACCACCAGTGGACCACCAGTGGACCACCAGTAGACCACCAGTGGACCACGGCAGTCGTCCACGCACCACAAGTCTGGAACCACAGGATCAGCCAGAGGCACTCACCAGCCGCATGGCCTCCTCCCAGGCTCCTCCCTCCGTGAGCGTCACCACCGCTTCTTCGTGGTCCTGCCCAGACACGGCCGCGGACAAATAACATCCTCGACCTCGTTCGCACAATGAGGCAGGCGCTGTTTGCGAGCGCCTATTAAGGCAGATCATTTAACGTAAAACAAATTTTTTTTGTCCATCAACCTATTGGCTTTCGAGAGGTATGTTAGCACATGACTTAAGTATGCAAAACTCCAGACTGGCTTCAATATTCTGGGTCTCATCAGCAGTCATGACCTTTTGAACAAATGTGAAGAAAACGAGCGGAGGTCTGCTTATTTATTTGATTGCCCAGAAATCTCCACAACAGCGCGTGCCGAGTTTTTATTCACCATTTGTTTTATTTTTACATTGAGCTGGGCCCCATTGTGTCGATGGAGTGCTCTCGCCAACAACATTTGGCAGCCCAAATAGTGTTTGCCTTGCAAGCGTGACTCTGGACTGGTTTTGACCATCCGGGTCTCATTAGTAGATTTACCCTGGCTTAAGCGAACGCTGCTGTTCAACGTCAATGCGTGCGGAAGGCGCACGAACTGATGCTACAAACAATTTTTTTATTTTACCAGGTAAGGCCCACTGAGCTATATAGTTCTTTTTCAGAAGGGACCTGGTAATAGCTCAATTAAGTTCCTTATCATGTGGAAATGTCATAGCAGCCAAAAACTCCAAATGCACGTTGATTCTAAATGTAGAGGGTAAAACCGGAGGACCCGGAGAAAAATCCACGCCACCACGGGGAGAACGCGCAAACTCCAAAGGTACAGGCATCAAGGTCGGGATCGAACCCACGACCTCCTGTATAACAGGCGAGGTAGTCAACATCTCGTCACTGCAGCGCCCATGCTGTCGCTACTACGAGGGCAAGTGTCACGGCAAACCACTGCGCCGCATCCTCTCCGCCCACCTCTGCATACTGCTCCAGGAGACAGGCAGCGTCCACGTGCTTTCTCTGTGCGGCCAATTTTTCTAGAGGAACAAACAGGAAAAATACGTAAGTAACTAATCGTATCAACCAGAGCTCTTCAACCGTATTATCTGGCGGAACAACGGGATAAAATAAGTGTGAGCTGGGGGATCACGTGACACCACGTAAAGCTATGTAGGTCTTTTTCAGAAACGACCTGGCTATCACAAATGACAGCTCAACGAAGCGGCTTATCGCGTGGAAATGTACGTCAGCCAAATACTCGAGACGCGTGATGTTGATTCTAAATGTGGAAGGAAAAACCGGAAGACCTGGAGCAAAATCCACGTGACCACAGGGAGAACATTTAAACTCTAAATATACAGCAGGCGTCAGGGGTCGGGGTAAAACCGACAACCTCCTGTATACCAGGCGAGGTAGTTAACATCTCGCCACCGCGCGCCCCTCATTAATTACTGCATCAAGTCACTTGATAATCGTGCTGTGACAGTTCCACCCGAAGACGGAGGCTTGTGTCGCCTCCGAAACGTCGCGATTTCATTTATTTGTTTTCGTTTTCCTTTTTTCACCTACGTGACTTTACCGAAAAAACCAAAGAGTATGGATCCTTGCAGTCACGAAAGCTTCAAATCTAGAACGCACAAATGTCGTGAAACTCCCCCCCCGCGTCCCGTCTCACCGGCCATGTCGCGCGCGAGCCGCGTCAGCTCCAGCGCCGGGTAGCCGAGGCTCGTGGCGGCGCACAGCGCCTGGCGCCAGCAGCCGGCGTCACGGAACGCGGACAGCGCCGCCTGCCACAGCGCGGCGCGAGCAAACACCAGGCCGGCCTCGGCACCCAGGTGCCGCTCCTCCAGCAGGTGGCGACCAAACGCCTCGCTCAGAGCCTGGGGCACGCAACCACAATAACTACAGCAACCACAACGACAGCAACAACAGCAGCAACTACGGCAACCGCAACTACAGCTACAGGAGCAACTACAGAAACCACAAGAACAGCAACCACAACAACTACAGCAACTACAACAACAACAAAGTAAATCAGTATATATAGCGGCATTCACACAATGCCTCACAGCGCTTTACAAGAGATTCCCGGTAAAGACCCTTAACATTCAAACTTGGAGGTAAATAACCCCTTACAGAGACGGATTACGCAAGCGAATTTTTTTTGTCATTTTCAGACGAGCCCTTAAAAAACCTCGACTGACGAGGCCCGTCCCTAACGGTGTGGAAGGAAACGCGCTCCACAAACGAGGCTGGCCGACCGCTGAAGGCGTCGTCACACTACCCGAAGCAGAATTATCTTACCCGAACTCGTACTCCCCCTTCCGCCACAACCCCCCGAGGGCGTTCCCGCAGCACGCACCCGTGCGCCAAGCTCACGCCGCGTGCGAGCGCGTGCACGCGCCGCTCACCGTGTACTCCTCGCCGCCGCACGGGAAGAGACGGAGCGCCTCCCTGTAGAGCACGCGGCTCCGCACCAGGCTCAGCAGCTCGGGGAAGCGGTCCCGCCCTGCCGGGGTGGCAAACGAAAGATGTCCCCCGCTCGGCTTCAGGCCCCGAGGCTTCGGGCAAGCGACCGTTACGTTTGGAAGAGGGAGGTGGTGGGGGGGGGGGGGGGGGTGTGAGGTCGTTCCAGCTGTTAGCGGACTGGGACGGGGGGTTTGAGGTGCGTCTCGAGAAACGGGGCCTACGATGTGGGGGACGTGCCGCCATCGCTATACGATGTCGCCGCGCAAGTTGGGTTCGGAAAAAAAAAGTGGAGTTTCGCGAAGAGCAGCCGGGCTATAGGAGTTGGCAATGATTATCCGCACCACAGGTGGCTCCACTGGCTGACCCGGCAGGGCCCACCCACCGTCCCCGCGAACTCACCGCATCGGCTCAGATGCACCAGGGCCTTGCCGTAGCGCTTGAGGTGATTGTCGATGCTGTAGCGCTGGTAGTTCGTCTCCATCTTCTTGAGGTCGTTCAGGAAGGGCAGGTATTCCTTGGGGTCCTGGGACGTCAAGAGGTCAGGACGAGATTTAGTCAGGAGCAGCAACAACAATTGTTGTATGTATGACGATCTTCTTTCATACCGTACATAACCAACCGCGCTAATCGGTGTGTGGTGCTGGCCACACGATCCTCTCGTGGGTTGTACCGGCCTTTCATAGGTGCTCGTGAGAGCAGCACTTGCTCCAACAGTCTGTTAAGGCTATACGGGAAATCTTCACCTTTTTTTTTCCGATTAGCGTGGTTTGCTACGTACGGTGCAAAAGAAGTTCAACACACATACGTACATAAGTACACACGTGCGTGCGTGCTTGTCCACGCCCGTGTACGCGCGCACCTTCTGCGAGCGCTGAGCGACCATGAGCACGAGGCGGAAGTCGTAGGTGCCGAGTGCGCACTCGTACAGCTCGCCCTCGTCCACGAGCAGCAGCAGGTAGCCCAGCGCCTCCTGCGCCCTCCTCTCCGCCTCCTCCGCACCTCCGTCGCCCGCCGCCCCCTCCGCTGCTCGCTCTGAATGGACGGACGGACGACGGGACGCGGATTTGCATCCTTTAACGTCGGCTGCGATGCCGACGACGCATTACACTGGTCGATGCACTTTTTCTGGCATAAGCTATTCCAACGGTTTTAATGTATCTTCTTGGTTCTTTCGGTAAAGTCATGTAGAAGGGAAGTAACAAAATAATAATAAAATAATATGTTTTATTTTTATTATTTTATTACTTCCCTTCTACGTGACTTTACCGAAAGAACCAAGAAGATGAATCCCTGCAGTCACGAAAGCTTTAAATCGAGGTTTTAATGTAATTTTGGGGTGCTGATTCCAAATGTGGCATCAGTTGTTGTCTATCACATCAGGTTTTTGAGATATCAAATATTGCATTTTCAATAAAAACTGCAGAAGAAAAATATTAAATAAATGTGGATATCTACATAAAATTATATTATAAACACACTATCCTAAAAATACAGCACCATATTTTAACACTAAAGCAGTCACTGACTCGCAACAACTTGCAATCATAAGTGACAGAGTTAATTTCGGGTAAAATCAATGAAAATGGGGTATGCCGATAGCATAAAATGAGATGTGATAGAGCAAATCTGAGATCAGATTTAGAAATCAGCACCCCGAAATTAGTCTAAAACAGCTGCAAAAGTCCCGGCCAGAATTTTTTAAATTTTTTTTGACCAGTGTTATTTAGAGTTAACACGCCGGCAGCATTAATCAGGGCGGCCGGACTGGATTGGAACCCTGAACCTCTGCAAGAGACGCTACTGTTGGGCCACACTTCACCGCTTCATTCCTTTTAACGGATTCCACAGCTGTTACAAAGTCGACATCCAAACCACCAAGATGTGCACTCACAGTCTCTTTACAAACACCTTGCATTTGTAAGTCCACCACCCACCCCCCCTCCCCGCCACCTCAAACGCCGCTCACCGGCCACGTCGCGGACTCGCATCAGAGCCGTCTCCACGTCGGGCTCCTTTCTTCTCACCAGCGCAGTCAGAATGGACAGGAAAAACCTGAGCGGACACAAGCGCACGCATGCAATGCAGCCGGGCAAACCAGTTAAGATCCTAGCCCCAAATTAAGTGTTTTTCACTCAGAATTATTTTGCACGTTCTGTGTTGTACGTATGTAGGTTGTAAAGAAATGAGCTTTCAATCTGAATTTAAAAGTGCAGAACTCCAGTGGCTTCCTTATATCGGATGGAAGATCGTTCCAGACGGCCGCAGAAGCGCATCTGAAAGCGTGCAGTGCAGTGACCGTCTTTGTTCGATGGTTAGCCACAAGCCACTGGGAGGTTGACCGGAGTTCGCGTTATGGAAGAGCGGGGGGGGAGGCGTGGCGTCAGTGAGATGCACGAACCCGGTTGGTGACGTCATTGCCGTGCACTTGTCCGCCCGCATACCAGCCAGCCAGCAAAACTTTTTTGAATAACATAGTATAATATGAAAATGGCACCAAACTGAGTTGATTTCGTTTTCGATAGTGGCGGCATTATTCGATTCACAAAATGCCGACATAAAAAAATCCAAGAGCTCTCATTGTGTGTGGATTTAAAGATACTTTGTACCACCCCGGCTGTATGAACAGGCGATTGAAACCTTGTTCAGTAGGATTCGATTCAACAATTCATTTCTTACAATGAATTGCTGCGTACGTGACGCGATTGCTGTCACCATCAGTCGTTTACAGCCGGGTCGCCATCGAAAAAGAGCCACCTACCCCAAATAAACCGACCGATTGTGACCCTTAAGATACACGCGTAGCGTGCTATGCATTAGAGAGCTGTCTATTTTACAATTTACACGTACACGGGCAGACGGGCCAAGCAGCCTCCGCTCGCGTGAGTGAGTGAACGGGGCAGGCCAAATGTGCACCACCTGTCTGGGTCCAGGGCCTCCATGGCTGCCCGCAGGCCGTCGCACACGGCGTTCACTTTGTCGGTGCTGCGTGCGCCGGGCCTCGGCGGCGACGGTGGCGGTTGCTGTGCCGGTGGCGACGGCGGCAGGCGGTTGCGCCCAGCCGTATGGCACAGGGTACATGGTCCGCGCGACGTCTTCGTCCCTGTGCGAGCGGGGACATTGTTACGATCTCGTATATTTCGACGCCCGTTGTGTATTTGGAGTTTGCGTGTCCCTCTCTCTCTCTCGCTCCACGAGATCGCGTGGATTTTTCTCCGGGTCCGCCGGTTTTTCCCTCCACTTTTAGAATCGACGTGCGTAGGGAGAATTTGGCAGCTGTACATTTCCACGTGAAAAGTCACTTAGTCGAGCGATAATTTGTGTTAGCCAGGCCGCTTCCGAAAAAGAGCTACATAGCTAAGTGGGCCTTACCTGGTACAATATAAAGTTTGGTTTATCTATCACACAATGCACAAGTCTCAAGACTCCTTTTTCCAGAGAGACCTTCATAAGGAGTTTCTTGGGAGAGACGGAGTGGTGGCGCAGTGGTTAGCGCACTGCACTCTCAACCCAGCCGCGTTCTGTTCGATTCCTGGCCGCGGCTAACATCAGTGGCGAGTGCGATGTGAAACGGTCCTGGGCTCGCACCGACAGCCAACCCCGCACTGACCATAACGGTGAAGTCATGCCAAGCAATCTCCGCCAATGACACGACAGGCCTTCATCCAGCAGTGGAATGATAAAGTGCCGGCAAATCAGCTTGCTTCCTCCATGCAAAACACGCACCCCCCCCCCACCCACCGCAACCTGCTCCTCCAGACCGCACCCACATCACTTTCTTGCCGCGTCTTATCCTGAAAGTCCCAAGTCGCTGGCACCTAACATGCCGTGAAAAAAATCCTCAAGAGCAAACTTGCCACATCCTCAAGCGATCCACCAACCCCCCCCCCCCGGCAACGACAACGCGGGGCGCGCCGAGCCGAGCGACGTCACGGCGGCGAGACGGACGCGAGGCCCCGGCGGCGGCTGCCGCTCACCTGAGCTCGGTGAGGAACAAGTTGACGTTGCCGGCGGACTGCACTTGCGTCAGAAATTCCCCAATGTTGTCCATGAACGCCTGCGAAGGTGGGAAACACGGCTGAGCGGTGCGCGAGCGACGCGGAGGAGCGCGCGCCGCACGCTTTGCAAGCACGACACTCACCTTGGGGTTGTGATCGTAGAGAAGATTCAGGTTTATCCTCTGCTTTTTCATGCACTCGAAAGCTTCCTTGAACTTCAGGCTGCCGGGGATCAACGATACAAAGTTTATAATTATTATTTGTTTTTGGCGTAGCGCCCTCCCATATGCCGGCGTGTCTCGTCTCAGAGCGCTTCATATCTCAAAACATTCCGATGGGCATCCCCAGTAGCAGCCGTCCCTGTGCGACACAAGGGCAAGCCCAGCACCTGGCCTGCGGGATGCTGGTAGCGGCGCAATTGAAACGCAATCGGGAGAGAAAGAGCAGGATCGGGTCGATGAAACGACAGAGGCCTCAACAATAAACGCCTCACCTGTCCAGCCACTTGCGCACCTGCGACAAGAGCAGAGCCCTGGGCTGAATCGTCTCCAGATTCCCCCGCGGCATCTGCCAGACGCACGCACGCACACACACACGCGCAAGCAGTGAGTGGCGGTCGATGCCGGTCCCTTAAGATATACAGCTCCTGTGGGGTCAGGGGTCAACAGTGCTGAGCCAGCGCCGCTGTAGAGAGCTGGGTTCTAAGCTATTTATTTTTGTTTTACCAGGCAGGGGCCACAGAGAGCTACATGGTTCTTTTTCAGAAGCGACCTGGCCACAAAAGATAGCTCAACGAAGAGACTCATCGTGTGGAAATGCATAGCAGCCAAATGTGGAGGCGAAAATCGCAGGGCCCAGAGAAAAATCCACACGACCACGGCGAGAAAATGCAAACTCCAAATATGCAGGCATCCAGATGTCATGAGAGTCGTGGGGCTTATTTTGATCATACTTCACCACACTGATCGGTGCGGGCCGGTGGAGGCGGGGAGTGTGCATGCCCAGGAGTGTCTTGATACAGAGTGTTTCTGTTATAACGCGGCGCTCGTGATGAATGTGGCGTTATTGTCATGAGGGTTTAGTAATTTTTATGTTGCTGTGTGACTTTAGGGTTGCTGTGTTGATACGTGTGTTTGTTAAATCGCTGGGTGGCGTGACGGACAAGTCTACTGCACTGTGAACACAGCCACCAGAGTTCAATTGCACGGCTAACATCAGTGGCGAGCGATGCCTGAACCGACTCGCACTGACCTAAATGGTGAAGTAAGCTCAATCGACCCACACGAATTTCATTAACATGTATGATGTATTTGTTGTATTTCTGTCATAGTTCACGGCGCATCAACAAACGCAACGCGTTAAAAAAACCACGTTGTCGGCACTATGAGCTACAAGTCTGACCGCTGCAACCGTGTAACTTGGGCCAAGCAGGGCCGGGGTCAGGGGGTCACGGAGGCGTCAGCCGAGACCTGCAGCACGAGTCTGCAGTCGGAGGGGACGATGGCGACGATGCGCGAGCCCCGCTCCACGCGCCGCACCGTCTCGTCTCCCGGGAGATCGCCTCCTGAGGGCAGTCCGGCCAGGGCTGCGGGCACACGGTGGACATGAGGGCAAGTGACACACACGCAAGGGGGCAGGGATGGTGCCGTGGCGCGATGATTAGCACGTCGGACGGTCGCCACGAGACACGGGTGCGAGAGGAGTCCGAGCTTCGGTGTCAGGCTAGGCTGAGGCTTCTGGCCTGGGCTGTGTTTGTCATTTTCCGCGTGCCTCCCTCCCTTGATTTGGACAATGTTCATCACGGGACCTTAAGTAGCGAATATTATAGTGTGATGCTGCTGCGCTATGAAGGCTGCGGTGTAAAACTACATTTTTCTGACGCGACAGCTGAAATAATGAGCTAGTTTATTTAATCCCCTGGCCTCTGTCAACGGGGCAGTACTTTCATAGTACACCACAGTTAGTCCAACGGCAGCTCCCGTCAAGTGGGGTAGAGTGTGGGTGACTCTCACGTCTCGCAGGACGTCTGGCCGGCGTGGCAGAATAGGCTAGAAACACTCTTCAGAGGGGCCCTCTAGAGTTGCACTGAGTGGCAGCTCAGCCCAGCAGAGGCTCACGCTCGTGGAGGTCCATCAGCCAGCAGTGGCACGAGCAAGAAATTACAGGGCTACAGCTTTCCCTTTATCCATGGTGAACAGAGGGCAAAAGTGAACGCGCTAACAACCCCTGCGCTACCGTCACGGCGCGCGGGTGCGCACGGCGCAGCGCGCGAAGCGTCACCTGCGACGGGGGCGAGGCGGCTCACGCAGCGCAGCGTGTGGAGGCGCGTGGTGAACAGCAGCAGCTCCGGGTGGACGCAGAACGACGTGCAGTTGGACGCCACCTGCCGAACGTGCAGGGCCCAGGCACGACGGCGCGGTTAAGGCCAGGGGCCACGCGACACGGCGAGCCTTCTTCGTCGTCGCCATCGTCGTCATTACCGTCGTCGTCACCGTCGTTGTCACCATCCTCATCACTGTCGATGTCACTGTTATCATCATCACCGTCGTCACCGTCCTCGTCATCACCGTCGTCGTCACCGTCATCATCACCGTCTTCATCACGCCGTCACCGTCATCGTCGTTGTCGCGAATCGCGAGCACGGTCCGATAATCGAGCAGGATGGGTATTGCTATGGCTGGGCCAGGCCAATTCGCTGAGAGATAATCATTACGCAGTGGTACAGAATGGAGGATGGTTTATTTATTTTATTACCCACAATACTCCACAAAGTAAATCATAATTATTATTGTTATTACGATTGTCTGCCCAGGGAAGCCTCACATTACGTGTGCTTTTTAACTTAGTGAGAAAACTGGAAAAACCCGGAGGAAAGGCATGCAGAACAGGGAGGGGGGGGGGGGAACCACAAACTCCACTCACTCAAATGATAGCTCACGAAGTGGCTTATCATCACGTGCAAATTTATAGCAGCCAAATACTCTTATGCACATGTTTCTAAATGTGGAGGGAAAATCGGAGGACCCAGAGAAAAATCCACACGACCACGGGGAGAGAGAACATGCAAATTCCAAATATACAGGCGTCAGGATTGGGATCAAACCTACGATCTCCTTTATACCAGGCGAGGTAGTTCATATCTCGCCACCGTAGCGCCCTAACTTATACGTGAGCTAGAGCGTGTCATCATCACAGCACGATGAAGAGTGGCAATGGCATGGAGAGGCCGGGCAGATGACAATGATGATCATGATGATTACTAACGCACTGACAAGGATGTGCAAATGAATCTTACCTCGATGTCGTTGGCGAACAGCCTTGACCGCTCAGTAAGACCCAGGGCAACTTCCTGCGAAGGGGACAGTGACACGATTATTACGATTTCTGCTCGTTTACACGGGAGAGCCTCGCCCCCAGTTGACTTTGTGTGAACAGGGGAGAGCTCAAGGAACCAGGAGAGAGTCTCGTTCGTATGTTGAATTTCTTTCGCACTGTACGTAGCCAACCGTGATAATCGGAGGTGCGGGCGGGGGGGGGGTGGACAACAAACTAAACACAAAAAGCAGTTCAAGAAATTAGTTTTCAATATAGATTTGAAAGTGAATTGCTCCAGTGAATTCCTAATATCGGAATGAAGAGCGTTCCAGACGAATCGTGGGTGAACAGTTCTACACCGAGTGCGGTAATGCAGCGGTCAGCGAGCTACAAACCCCGTGGTCCGCTCATGGCCAACACCTGCCCTGGTCCTCCTGTAGGTCAACTCAGCCTCAAACGCGTATCCCGTGTGATGCGTTAACATTGCCACAAGGACAGACAAATGCGGCCGGGTGTGGCGCTGGCCGCCCGTCCCCTCGTGTGCCACGGCCGGCCTTCACAGGTGCTGCTCGCTAACCGCACTTGCCCCAACAGTCTGTTGAGGCTACACGGTGGGAACTTTGTCTTTGTACTCGGTGCGCATTCCCCGGTCCGGGGCGCAGCCACTCACCTGCCCCGCCATGGTGCACACCTCCACGTGCACGCAGGGCACCGGGAACGACACGGGACGGCCCCGCGCGTCGGTCCACGCCTCCACGCTCAGCGGCTCAACGGCTGTGGACGGACACGGCGACGCTCTCTAGGTCCGCTCAGCCCAAAAACGGGCATCTCGGTTGGTGCCGCGTGGTCGCGCGCATGCGGGGTGACGTCGTCACCGTCGCATCCGGATTCGAATCCCAGTCACAAATGCCACCAGCCAATTGGATTGGGGGGTTGTGTCAGGGGGTGCGGGCGAGGGGGGGTATTGCGTCGCAAATGGGATTTTAGCCTCGTCGGTGTGGCGCTCGCAATGCCCTGCCACCTGTGGTCAGACAGGCGAGGTCACTCACCTTGTTTCGGTGTTCTCTAAAGACTCACCCGTTTTCCCCTGGCCTACACTTCCCATGTGTAATGACAATAGAGCCTGCATGCAGTGTGAGGGGACTAGTGGCCACGGGAGGTAATGACAGAGGAGTCAGCCTGCAGTGTGAGTGGACTGGTGGCCACGGGAGGTAATGACAGGGGAGTCAGCCTGCAGTGTGAGTGGACTGGTGGCCACGGGAGGTAATGACAGGGGAGTCAGCCTGCAGTGTGAGGGGACTAGTGGCTACGGGAGGTAATGACAGGGGAGTCAGCCTGCAGTGCGAGTGGACTAGTGGCCACGGGAGGTAATGACAGGGGAGTCAGCCTGCAGTGTGAGTAGACTGGTGGCCACGGGAGGTAATGACCGGGGAGTCAGCCTGCAGTGTGAGTGGACTGGTGGCCACGGGAGGTAATGACAGGGGAGTCAGCCTGCAGTGTGAGTGGACTGGTGGCCACGGGAGGTAATGACAGGGGAGTCGGCCTGTCGTGCAAATGCACTAGTGGCCAGGGTAGGTAATGACAGGGGAGTCAGCCTGTAGTGTGAATGGACTGGTTCCACAGGAGGTAATGACAGGGGAGTCAGCTTGCAGTGCGAGTGGACTGGTGGCCACGGGAGGTAATGACAGGGGAGTCAGCCTGCAGTGAGTGGACTGGTGGCCACGGGAGGTAATGACAGGGGTCTCAGTTGTGAGCGCGAAGGGACAGGTGGTGATGGGAATATTCGAGAAGGGAGCCGTGGTCAGGTGACGGAAGAGGACGGTGGAGTCTGCTGGTGGAGCGAGCGTCCAGAGTCAGCGAGAATGATCGAGAAGGGGGGCGTGGCCTCGTGTCGGTATATAAAAGGGAAATGCGCGGGAGACTCGGGGCTGTTGCAGTGGGGGTCTCTGCCTGATCAAGTGAACGCCATCTCAATAGAAGTGTGTCAAGTCGTCATTACACATGCATGACCAGTGGTCTATTTATATTTCCTTTCTTCGTGCACGGCGCACTCATATCCTTGGATAAATGTCAATTATTATCGTAACTTAGCGCTCGCTAACGGAACTTGGCGCTCACTCGCTCACCGTGGCAGCAGCGCAGGAGCTCCCCGTTGGAGAGCTGCAGCAGAGCGGAGTCGCCGCCAGGGACGAGCGTCACGCTCAGCACCCGCCCGTGCAGCTCCAGCGCCGAGCTGCAAGACGTAAATGTTTTTTTTTCCCCGTGTGACTTACAACGTCTATCTTCTTGGTTCTTTCGGTGAAGTCACGTAGAAGGGAAGTAATAAAATAATAAAAATAAAACGTTATTATTTATTATGTTTTTTTATTACGTTTTATTTTTATTATTTTATTATTTCCCTTCTACGTGATTTTACTGAAAGAACCAATAAGATTAATCCCTGCAGTCACGAAAACTTTAAATCGAAATTTACAACGTTTAGTTTGTTCCGTCTTCCTCTGCTAAGACTATTCGCCCCAAATAGAAACAAAAATTTTCAGTAAATTTGCGTAAACTACAAATATTTAGACTCCATACAGATTTAGACTCTATATAGATCTAGACTCTATACAGATTTAGACTAGAAAGATTTAAACTCCGTGCAGATTTTGACTCGATGCAGCTTTAGACGCGATAAAAATTGAAACTGGCGAGTTCACCCGGCGGCTGTGAGCGTCTCCTCGGCGGGTTCCTCGCCGCCTTGCTCGCAGCGGGGAGCCCCTGAGCAGCATCACGACGGAGCGGCACAGGGAGGAGCCCTGGCTCACGGCCAGGAAGCGATCCCGCCCGAGCCACGTGAACTCGCGGAATCCTCGCATCGACGGTGGCGGCGGCGGCGACGACCCCCCCGTCTCTCCTCCTTCCGCACGATCGCTCTCCCGAATCCTGGGAGAAAAACACGACGGACGAAAAGGATGAGACGATCGCCATCGTCGCCGTCGTCGGCAGCCGTCGCCTATCCACGCCGTCGCCATCGCTAATGGCCCAGTGCTAAGGCCCCATCCATCTCATGGTTGCGCGCGGACCGACCGCGTCGCTCCGTCCAGCCGTTGGCTGCGATTCTGTCGCCGGTCGCGCCCGTTTTGGCCATCGTGCCGTCTCGCCGTGACGCATCCGGCCCAAGCGCCGCTGCTTCCTTTGGATGCCAACATATTGAACCTCTCCCATTGAGCCTCTCCCATTGAACCTCTCCCATTGAACCTCTCCCATTGAGCCTCTCCCATTGAACCTCTCCCATTGAGCCTCTCCCATTGAACCTCTCCCATTGAACCTCTCCCATTGAACCTCTCCCATTGAACCTCTCCCATTGAACCTCTCCCATTGAACCTCTCCCATTGAACCTCTCCCATTGAACCTCTCCCATTGAACCTCTCCCATTGAACCTCTCCCATTGAGCCTCTCCCATTGAGCCTCTCCCATTGAACCTCTCCCATTGAACCTCTCCCATTGAACCTCTCCCATTGAACCTCTCCCATTGAACCTCTCCCATTGAACCTCTCCCATTGAACCTCTCCCATTGAGCCTCTCCCATTGAACCTCTCCCATTGAACCTCTCCCATTGAACCTCTCCATTGAACCTCTCCCATTGAACCTCTCCCATTGAACCTCTCCCATTGAGCCTCTCCCATTGAACCTCTCCCATTGAACCTCTCCCATTGAGCCTCTCCCATTGAACCTCTCCCATTGAACCTCTCCCATTGAGCCTCTCCCATTGAACCTCTCCCATTGAGCCTCTCCCATTGAACCTCTCCCATTGAACCTCTCCCATTGAACCTCTCCCATTGAACCTCTCCCATTGAACCTCTCCCATTGAACCTCTCCCATTGAACCTCTCCCATTGAACCTCTCCCATTGAACCTCTCCCATTGAGCCTCTCCCATTGAACCTCTCCCATTGAACCTCTCCCATTGAACCTCTCCCATTGAACCTCTCCCATTGAACCTCTCCCATTGAACCTCTCCCATTGAGCCTCTCCCATTGAACCTCTCCATTGAACCTCTCCCATTGAACCTCTCCCATTGAACCTCTCCCATTGAACCTCTCCCATTGAACCTCTCCATTGAACCTCTCCCATTGAACCTCTCCCATTGAACCTCTCCCATTGAGCCTCTCCCATTGAACCTCTCCCATTGAACCTCTCCCATTGAACCTCTCCCATTGAACCTCTCCCATTGAACCTCTCCCATTGAACCTCTCCGACTGATGCGAATTCCCTGATCCCTGCGTTCCTCGAAGTAGCCTCACATTAACTGCAATGTGACTTTGAACCACCGCACAGAAAACCTGGTCTTGTGTCAATCAAGCTAAATTGGCGATAATTATCCCACTCCTGCGGGCGAGCGAACAATCCCGCACCTGTACGTCCTGACGAGCGAAGGCAGGCCCACGCGAGTCCTGAAGCCGTTGCCGCAGGCCTGCCCGAGGCGCACGGTGGGGTCTGGCGCGGCGCTGCCGTTGCCGCCGGCGCCGCCGCCGTGGGCGTACACGAGCACGCGGCGCCGGTCGCACAGCAGCACGGCGACGTCGTCGGCGCGGCCGCTCTCCGGGCAGAAGGAGGCCCGCTCCGCCGCGAGCGGCAGCTGCAGGTGGAACGCGGCCATGGGGGGCGGCACCGTCATCCAGCGGAACGGCGTCAGCAGCACACGGTCTGTGCACGGGGGGGGGGGGGGGGGGTGTGGGCGGTTGTGGGGGGTTGACGACACGCGGGGGGCCGTGTTGCTGACCGCAAGGAGACAACAACCAAGGCGCGATCGCCGCAACGTTTATAAACCGCCGTCAATTCATTTGTTTATTTATACCGCACGCCTCCTGCTAAAGTGTGCGTGCTTCCATCCCTTTCAAGAAGGGTGGCCAGAGTGGAAGAGTAGGCCAAATGGCCACTTGGAGGGGCTCTTTCGAAGAGCACCCTCTCGTGCAGGCCCTTCCACCCAAGCAGTAGTCGTATGAGCGAGCAATTGCAGGGGCTGCACCTTTTACTTTTCACCGCCACTCCCACGCAGCAGACTCCGGCGGCACCAGAACACAGGGGGCGGAATTCGGGACGGTTACTCGGCAAGCAAGCGATCGCAGAGCGAATGATCGCAAACCAAACTGCGGAGGCCACACGCGCAACGTACGCCGACGTGAAGCGGGCAGAATCGAGTCGAACCAGTTCACCATCGTCCTCGTTGCCGCCGTCCTCGCCGCCGCCGCCGTACTCACCCCCGTCGATCACGGCCACGCTGGAGCCAGCGCCTTCGTCCACGCAGCGCCCCGCGTCGGTGCCGGGCCACCACTCGCGCACCACGTAGGCGCCGCCCGCCATGACGCAGTGCAGCCGCTGGGCGCACTCGGGGTCCCAGCACAACGCCGCCAGAGGCTCGCCGCCCTCGCCGCCACCTTCGCCGCCCCCCATCTCCAGGCTCTGCTTCAGGTACCAGTGGTAGTTCCCCACCATCCACAGCTGCACTGCTCGATGGAGGAAAAAGGGATGGAGGGGAGTGCGGGACGATCATTGTTTTTTTGTATTATTACGGCCACTTCGCTTGTTCACCCGGGAGGCTCCTATCAAATGTGTGCGGTAGGCAGCCATGCCTGTGTAATGACAGGGTGCCACCTGTTGGCCTGAAGGGGTAATCGCGGTTATGCGTATCTTAGGTAAAGGTGAAAGGCGAAGTCAGTCGAAGCTCCGGGAACCTGCTTGAGGGTTCTGGAAGGGGCGTGGCTGGAGGCGGGGCTTGGCCACGCCGGGGCCTATATCGCCATCCTCAGCGACGTCATTCTCACCACCGCCATTACCAGCAGCGTCAGCATCACTACCGCTATCGTGACGACGACTTCCCACCTCTACCACCAGGAGCACCACGGCCACCACCGTAGCCTCCACCTCCACCATTGACCAGCAACCACCCCCGACTCACCGAAGCTGCGTCTGTCTCCGGCGGGAGTCTCCGTCTCCTTGCCAAGCTCTTCGAGCCACACGGCCAAGATGGTGGAGTCCGCGTTCCACAGCAGCTCCCTCACCTGGCGGGACGAAAGAGGCAACGAAGAGCCGCAAGGGGTGAGCTCAACGGAGGTGGAGCCCCGGAGCGTTTTGCTCACGTTACTGCTGGCGACAGGGCCCCCCGTTGAGGGATCTCTAGGCCAGGGGTCCCCAACCCCCAGGCCGCGGACCGGGACCGGTCCGTGGCCTGTTAGGAACCGGGCCGCACAGCAGCAGGTGAGAGCGGTGAGTCCGCGCTGTGTACACACTCTACACACCGCATAGTGGAAAGCGGTAAGTCCGTGTGTGTACACACTCTACACACCGCATAGTGGAAAGCGGTAAGTCCGTGTGTGTACACACTCTACACACCGCATAGTGGTGAAGCGGTGAGTCCGTGTGTGTACACACTCTACACACCGCATAGTGGAAAGCGGTGAGTCCGTGTGTGTACACACTCTACACACCGCATAGTGGAAAGCGGTAAGTCCGTGTGTGTACACACTCTACACACCGCGTAGTGGTGAGCGGTGAGTCCGTGTGTGTACACACTCTACACACCGCATAGTGGAAAGCGGTAAGTCCGTGTGTGTACACACTCTACACACCGCGTAGTGGTGAGCGGTGAGTCCGTGTGTGTACACACTCTACACACCGCATAGTGGAAAGCGGTAAGTCCGTGTGTGTACACACTCTACACACCGCATAGTGGTGAGCGGTGAGTCCGTGTGTGTACACACTCTACACACCGCATAGTGGAAAGCGGTAAGTCCGTGTGTGTACACACTCTACACACCGCGTAGTGGTGAGCGGTGAGTCCGTGTGTGTACACACTCTACACACCGCATAGTGGAAAGCGGTAAGTCCGTGTGTGTACACACTCTACACACCGCGTAGTGGTGAGCGGTGAGTCCGCGCGTGGCGCCGCGCCCGCGCCTCTTTCCCGCACTGCACACTTGTCTCAGTCACAGTGTTGGTAAGCCCACAAGCTGCTAACGCCTAGTAGCCACCATGAGTACAAAAAACAAACGTCGCTGGAGAGCTTCTTTGAAAAGGGGGAAAGACCCAATGATGAACCCCCCCCCCCCCCCCGCCGGTCCGTGAAAAAATTTTCTTCCACGAAACCGCTGCTCTCGGCAACCCACCCCTCCTGAAGGTAAATTGGCCAATTCTTCCACACTGGCCAGAGGTCGGGGTGCCTCCACTTTACCCCAACGCACACGACCAGCCCATCGACCATGTTCGTTCCCATTTCCCCAGCTGTGTGGATTTATAAACGTACCCAGTCATTTCAATTGCCGCCTGGGGAAATCGAAATCAAACCGGCAATGTACCTGCACCGCCCTAGCCATTACAGCATGTGACATCATTGCACCCATTACTATCTGCTGCTGTTAAAGACTCCCGTGATGTACATGGTCCACTCAAGCACCCAGTAAATAACAAACGCTGCACAGGCCGCCCAGAAGCCTCGGCCTAGCCTGACCATCGCGCACCTGCATGTCGTCGCGGCCGAAGGGCAGCGTGAACTCTCCGTGCGCCAGGCCGTTCCGCTCCAGGAACACCACGTCGTGCCGGCCGGGCTTGCGCTGCGAGCTGGCGATCAGGCTTCCCGACGGCCTGCACGGCGCGGACATTAAAAACACACAGCGGGACCATTAGTGGGCCTCGCTGCGGCCACTGTGCGGGCGGCTGTGGAGAGAAGGGGCGGCTTGGGGTGAGGGGGGTGGCCGGGGTGAGGGGGGCGGCCGGGGTGAGGGGCGGCTCTGGTGAGGGGGGGCGGCTCTGATGAGGGGAGCAGCTGTTGGTGGAGGCTGCTGTACGAGGAGTCCACCATAAGGGGCGACCACATGGTCGCACTTCCCACCAAATTGAATTGTCACGCCCATGTTTTGGCGAGCGGAGCCCTACGTTTAACATATGTTTGAAACGCACCCGATTACGGTTTCGTAGTATGTGATGCAGGTTGAATGCACTAGAACACCATATTGTGTTGCATTTTGGCGTCGGGCACTATTAGGGGTGGTTGCCGAGGAGATGCTGCTCAGGCAGGAAGCTGCTGCTGAGAGAGGCGGCTGCCCTGAGGGTGGCGGCCGTGGCGGCTAAGACCGAAACAGAAAGACTTCTTCATATTTCTGGCAAATCACCTGATGACACTGTTTGTAATCAACAGCGAAACGTCGTACTCAAATTTTAAATGTTGTGGATTTACTCTCCAACACACTGGTGTGTTGGAGTTTACGTGACAAACCTTACTAATTGGCTGTATCGGGTGGTGGTGGGTTAACGACACGTTTACATTGACGCGATCTAACCCAAAAACACCTCTATTATGGACAATATTGCGTGACGAAAGCCTACGTGTTAAACTGTTGTGGGTGGTTGCTATGGGAACGGCGGGCTCACTTCCAGGCGAGGGCGGGCTCGAGGCCTGCGAGTATCTCGCTGGTCGCCTGCAGCACGCACTCGCGGCTCCACACTCGCACGCGCCGGGCTCCTGCACGCGCAAAGACAAAGATCTCCGTGTATCCTTTACAGACTGTTGGGGCAAGTGCTGTTAGCGAGCACCTGTTAAGGCCGGCACGGCACATGAGGGGGTGGGTGGCCAGCACCACGCCTGGCTGCCTTTGTCTCCCCAGTGATGATGTTTACACACCGCACCAGGTACTCATTTGAGGCGGAGTCGACCTAGGAGAGACCCAGAACCGGTACAGATAATCGCCACTGCTGTTGACCATGAGAGGGAATTGCAACTCGGGTCGCTGCGTTTGTCACGCAGTGCACTAACCGCTACACTACCGTTCACACATGCACACACAAAACAAAGATCCCCCGTATAGCTTTAACAGACTGTTGGGGCAAGTCTTGTTAGCGAGCACCTGCGCGCGCACACACACACGCATGTGTACGATTAACGCATGAACACACACGCAAGCATGCACACACACACGCCTGCACGCGCGCACACCCACGCTTGGCACAGCCCCGACGCGGGCCGGTTTGGAGTGGGACCTCTCACCCGTGTGTGGGCACACGGAGCTCACGGCGAAGAACTGCCCGTCGCCACGCCAGCTGACGCGCGGGCGGCCATCGTCCCAGGTGAACGCCGGCGCCACCACCTGCAGGGGGCGAGGACGGAGCGATCGAGAGGGAGCGGTGATCCCAGCCCCTCCCAGACGGCGCTGAAGGAGCGTGCCTCAACGAACTCCCACCTCCACCTTCACCTCCATTTCCCAGCCTCACAGCGCCGGCTTTTGGACAGCCATTGAACAAAGACGGGTCGACACATTGCGCGCGTGCTTTCAGATGCACTTCCATGGCCGTCTGGAATGCTCTTTCTTCCGATATTAGGAAGCCACTGGAGCTACGCACTTTTAAATAATCTCGAATGAAAACTCACTTCTTTAGAACCGCCGTGTGTTTAGTTTGTTTTACTTTGCCTCCCACCTACGATTAGCGGAGTTGGCTACGTACGGTGCCAAAGAAGTTTAACTTGCATACAAACAGGGACCTCTCCGCCAATGTCCTTGGGAAATGAAAAAACTGCGTCACAGTTACGATTGTTTAGTCTCTTTTGTGATGCTGATTATTGCGACAATTAACATTAATTAAATAAAAACAAGGGGAATCATTAATTTTCAGCTTCATTTGGTCGAGCACGGTAATGAGGATTAAAATAAACACGAGTGATACGTGGCCAATGGCTGCGGACAGGAGAATTAAGATTTCTAAGTTTATCTATTTATCATCCTCATCAGCTATGATCAATCCACAGCTCAGGTAAGATAAGCTTCACCCAAGCAGTGACCATCTCGCACCTCCGATTAACACGATTGGCTACGTACGGTGCGAAAGAAGTTCTCGAATTCTGTGATTCTCTATCATCGTCACCATGCTGTATCATCTTCCATTGTCCTGCGATGCAAACAATGCCAGCTGGCACCTGCACACGGGCCGATTGCAACGCTCCATCACCGCTCGTGAAAATCCTTCCGATGAGCAGGAAATGTCCCAGAAAAAAAGTTGGGCCGGACGGCCACTCACGAGTCCCCACGGTGACGCAAAAAATCAATTCATCTCGCCGTTAATTTCAATTCACTCGACCCGCTACCCGTCAGCGTAAGTTCACTGCAGCAGCAGCAGTGGAAACTACAGCCAAGTGTTTGGAAACGTGGCGAGCGATGAGGTACGGTCGCGCGGGACGCGGGACGAGAGGCGGGGAGGGGCTCGGCGTTGACCTCCTGCTTCTTGTGCGCCGCCTGCTTCCCCTCCGAGCCGTGGAACTGAGTCTCCTTCCGCCCCCAGCCGACCGTCACGAACTTGCCTGCGGGAAAACAAAGCGGCGGTTGCGGAGTCTCCGCCGAACGCGGCGCTCCGAAAAAAAAAAAAGCGCTTTATCGCAAGTAAAAAAAAAATTCCGAACGTAAAAACAATATATATTAACCGCAAACTACGTATGACGTTGAAATTTAACTCGTGATTATTACGAGTGGCGAACATGCCGTGCGACTTGAAATGCCAAGGCAGAGAAACGCAGACATGCGCGCGATGGTTGGTGAGCGACCGCGTGATCCTCTGGTACCGCGAGCGGCCGTGGGTGATCGTGCAACGCAAAACCACAGCGCAGTAGCTTTGACCTCTCTCGAAGTAAAATTTGTTAATAAGAACACTTTCTCGGGTTTTTCTTCTTCCATTAGTTTAGATTCTTTTGTTGTATTTTTTTGTACGTTTTTCTACAATGCTTTCAAAACGTCAGGCTGTAGTTCATGCATCGCCCGCAAGCGAGCATTAAAGATTGTGCGATGGTATTTATGGACCTCACTCGTGACTTGAAAGAGCTATTTATTTTCACCCTCATATACTCACACAAGACTCAAGAGAGACGGGAGACAGAGAGACAGTGCGAGTGAGTGAGTGAGTGACAGACGCACAGATCTCGATGGATCGATACCTTCTCCGAAATCATCCTGGTGCATGGGCACCTCGGTGAGCGGATCGAAGTCGCGCGTCATGGCGATGATGGTGTCCGCGCCCGTCGTCAGCACCATCACGTCCTGGTCGGGGCTCCAGCTCATGGCCGTGAGGCCGCTGTCCACGCTGCCCACGCACTCCAGCTGCGAGCGGCGGCGAAAAACACGGAGCACACAGAGACGGGGAGATGCAGGATGACAGGGAGACAGAGACACGGGGACAGGGAGACAGAGACACGGGGACAGGGAGACAGAGACACGGGGACAGGGAGACGGTCAGTCAGCGATCGTCTCATTTGCCTCCCACTTGGTGCACAGGAACCTGGCCAGGTTCAGCAGCAGCGCTTCTGCGGCCGTCTGGAACGCTCTTCCTTACGATATTCCGAAGCCACTGGGGCTATGGACTTTTAATATAGATTGAAAACTCATTTCTTAACAACTGTTTTTTGCATTTAGTTTGTAGTCCTTCCCATGGCACCTCCGATCAGCACGGTTGGCTAAATACGGCCGCAGTTTGCCGGCGGGCGGCTTTGCGGAACCCTTCGTCCGGCAGCGGTTTAGAACAACGGCCGACGTACGGCAACGGCGGCGGACGACCACGGTCGCACCTGTGCCCTTGTGACGCTGTAGAGCAAGACGTCGCCCTGCGAAGTGGCGACGCAAGCCGCGTCGGCGTCGGGCAGCGTCTGAATCCCCACGACGCGGCCGCTCCCGTCGCCCGCCAGGTACCCCTCGTCCACCAGCGACACGTCCACGACGACCTGCGGAGGCGCCGGGAAATCAGACCCCGCTCGTTATCCACGTGCGGCGACCGTCAGCGATTGCGAGTCCAGTGTGCGAAGCTTGACGTCGTGGTGGAAAGACGTTAACTACATCGCCGCGTGTGCAGGAGGTCGCGGGTTCGATCCTGACCCCCGACGCCTGCTGCTGTATATTTGGAGTTTGCGTGTTCTCACTTTCACCGTGGGCGCGTGGTTTTTCCTTCCACATTTAGAAACGTGCGTTTATGGTATTTGGCTGCTATAAATATACACACGATAAGCCACTTCGTTGAGCTATCATTTGTGAGCAGGTCGCTTCTGAAAAAAAGTTATTTAGCTCAGTGGGCCTCACCTGGTCAAACCAAAAGTTTTGTTTAAGTTTAGTTTAGCGTCCCCCCCAAAATTGAACATGGAAAGTAGTTAACGTTTTAGTTTTTTAACCTCTGCCTCTAACGGCTTGAATCTGGAGGGTTTAGAAGGTTGCTAATGGATTGTGTCGTGGTCAGCACGCTGGCCTCGCATTCCAGAGGGTACCGGTTTGACATTTCGACACGGCATTTGAAACAAGTTTGGATAGTTTCTTAAATCTCCCCGCGCCTCTGTCCACCCAACAGTCTAAATGGGTCCCACCACAGTCAGTCTATCGGCAGGTCACGCGTGGTCAGTCAAAATTTGGGTTACTCCAACCTCTTCCACGATTGTGGGGCTAGCATCGATGAGAAGGCCAAAAATACAACAATAGCAGACCTCGCCTAGAGCTCGCTCTGGTGGAGGCCCTTCCGCCGGCAGTGCCGCGAGCGAGCAATTGCAGGGCTGCACCTTTACCGCTTGTTAGTCTACTGATGGCAAGCCGTTCGCTCTTCTGCCGAACCACCTGGCCCCTTCTTTGGCTAAACATTATTAATTATTATGAACGTCAGGGCCATGGCGGTGCTGGTGTTTTTTGACGGCCGGGCATTCACGACTCCGAGGGCCCGCGCATCGGGGCCGCTCGACCGAGCGCGTCGTACCTCTCCACTGTGCGGGTCGAGCCCGGCAAGTCCCCGCGCCGAGCCGACGAACACGACGGCCGTGTCCGTGTTGACGCTCACACAGTGCGCCGCCGCCAGCGCGCGGTGGGGCCGCACGTGCGAGCTCAGCGCCAGCCGGAGGTTCCTCATCGCGGCGGAGACCCCGTTCCTGTTTGGCACGCACACGGTGGCGAGATGTTAACCACCTCGCCTGGTATACAGGAGTGCGTGGGTTCAATCCCGATCCCGACGCCTGCTGCTGTATATTTGGAGTTTGCGTGTATCTCTGGCTGTGGTCGCGTAGATTTTTCTCCGGTTTTTCCCTCCACATTTACAACCTGCGTTTAGAGTACTATTTGGCTGCTATAAATTCACACGTGGTAATCCGCTTCATTGAGCTATCATTTGTGGCCAGGTCGCTTCTGAAAGATGGCTATATAGATCAGTGGGCCTTACCTGGTAAAATCCAAAGTTTCATTCATAATTTATCTTACACACAATGCATCATTCTCAAGACTTCTAGATTTGAAGCTTTCGTGACTGCAAGGATTCATATTCTTAAGTTTTTTCGGTAAAGTCACGTAGGTAAAAAACGTAAATTAATAAAAGTAAAATAAAAATTAAATTAAAATCATGACGTTTCGGAGGCAACACAAGCTTCCGTCTTCAGGTGAAACCGTCACAGCACGATAGCTGTATCAAGTGATAGCTGTATCAAGTGTATCAAACGTCGTGATTTTTATTTTATTTTTATTAATTTTAATTTAATTTTTTTACCTACGTGACTTTACCGAAGACTCCCTTTTCCATCGAGACCTTTTGAAGGAGTGTCTTGTTTTTTTGTGGGAGGCGGAGCGGTGGACTTCTAATCCCCGACATGCTCGTCATGCAGGAACCCCTCCTGGAAGAAGAGGCTCACGAGGCCTCCAATGGTTTGTTATCCAGCGCCTTCAACGCGTTCACGGAACACGTGAACAATGCGAATCATTTGTTTTATATTCCTTGCGGAACAATTTTCACGGGCAAATCTTGAGCATTAGAATAAAAATAATAACAAACTCCAGTTAGGAGCAATGTGCTCGCGTAATGCGCGACCACATTGCTCAATAGGTGCTCGCAAACAGCACGACGCCTCGACAGCTCGGTCAGACAGGTGAACGTGACGCTGCGTTGGTGTGTCCACGTGTCTGTGTGTTGGGTGTCAGGCCGTGTGTGTCCATGCATCAAGTCTCTTGAGGCTATGCGGGGGACCTTTGTCTGTGTTTGTATGTGGGCAGCGGTCAACACCAGTGATGATTGAGCCGGTCCCGGGCCTCCCCTAGGTCGACTCAGCCTCAAATGAGTACCTGGTGCGGTGTGTAAACATCGCCACTAGGGAGACAAAGGCGGTCGGGCGTGGTGCTGACCACCAACCCCCTGGTGTGCTGTGCCGGCCTTCATAGATGCTCGCTAACAGCACTTGCCCCTACAGTCTGTGAAGGCTATACGGGGTATCTTTATCTCTTTTTTTACTGTACATGCATCCAGCAGCACGTACGGGGAGCGGTGGTGCAGCGGTTAGCGCGAGCCGAGTGCGATTCTCTGCTCACGGCCACAAAAAGCCCAGCGACGGATGATCTCGAACCGGTCCCGCGCCTTCCCCTAGGTCGACTCGGCCTCAAAACGAGCGCGCCGGTGATCCGCGCATAAACATCGCCACTGGGGCCGTTGTTGTTGTTATTGTCACACCCCCCCCCCCCACACACACTTCGCGTACCGTGCCGGCCTTCTTCTCGCGAACAGCGCTTGCCCCAACAGTCTGTTAAAAGCTGTAGGGGTGGGGGGCAGGGCAGGGTAGGGTAGGGGGGGTAATGTTTGTCTCAGCGCCTACTCCACCACGCTCGACTTCTCACGTACCTCGAACGCGACGCGGTCTCTGACAGCGACAGCGGCTGCCACCACCACTACCACCACCACCACGCCTCCACGTGGTTCCTCGCACGCGGATGACGTCACGGCTCGCGCGCGCGGTGACGTCATCTTCAAAACACGTGGGCGTCTACATCTATAGACCTCGATTTAAAGCTTTCGTGACTGCAGGGATTCATCTTCTTGGTTCTTTCGGTAAAGTCACGTAGAAGGGAAATAATAAAATAATACAAACATAATAAAATTATTCTCACGACGTTTCGGCTACAACGCAATGCATTTTGACTGCAAGTATTGTGGTTAATGCAGACATGAATCCTTGTAAAAAGGTTTCAGTTATGTTGCCAGATAAAGGGGGAAAACCCCTATTAGCACAAGGGGCTTGGGTTTTTTTTTAAAGGGGCAACGTTTCAAGTTTCACCAGTACCGGCCCTAGACCTTTGGGGGCCCTAAGCAAAATTTGGTTGGAGGCCCCTTTGATGTAGGATTTTTTTCACCCACTAGCTAGCAGTGACTCTAGGGGGCCCTCTGCTGGCCACGGGGCCCTTTGCAATTGCAAGGGTCGCTTAGTGGCTGGGCCGGCTTTGAGTTGCACCCCCCCCCCCGTGTCGCCCTTGGGACCGTCCATAAATGACGTCTTCATCAGGCGAACCGCTTTTGTTGCGATCGAAACGTCGTGGATTTTTTGTTTTTATTATTTTCTATTTATTATCTTTTATGTTTATTTTATTTTCGATTTACGTGAGAACTTTACCGAAAGAACCAAGAATATCAATAGTAACGTGTCTTATCGTGATGTCACACAATCGATAGCAATCGGATAGGCATCGATTATAACGCTCACAAATCGACACGTCCAAATTCGAGTGCGTGACAAATTGATCATTTTCCATTCGGCCAAATCGTAGTGGAAGGTCGTAAGGCCTGTAACAGGCCCGTTTTGTCTACCCACTGCTGGATGATGACCTCCCCCACACCGTTGCCCGTCAGTGATGGGGTCATGTGTCCATACTTCACCACTCTGGTCCGTGCGGGTTGAGCGAAGGTGAAGGATGGCGCAGAGACACGCGGTGCACCAACGGAATGTGCTGCACTGCCCCCTGCTGACCATTGCGTGGTCTTTTACCTTTCGATTTAAAGCTTTCGTGACTGCAGGGATTCATCTTCTTGGTTCTTTCGGTTATTAAATCCTTTATATTAAGTTCACTTGCTTGCTTGCGCGCTTACGACCGTGCAAATCTTTCGGTCGTTTTTTAACCCACTTCCCGTGATCCAATCGAGCTGACATTTTGCACACAGACTCGTTGTGCGTGACAATTTTCGTGAAATTTTTTTTCTCCAAATTTTTACACTTTTTAGGATTTTTTTTATATATTTAATTACCAATTGCTTAATGGTGGCAGGCAATCATCTGACCCATAGGTGGCAGCCATCTCAAGCCAGAGGACGAGAGGACTCTAGCCGCCACGCATATAAAGGATTTATAGTGAAAAACTTTGTTTTTAAGGGTTAATTTTTTTTATTACTTCCCTTCTACGTGACTTTACCGAAAGAACCAAGAAGATGAATCCCTGCAGTCACGAAAGCTTTAAATCGAAATTTAACCGCCACTACGGGGTGGGATTCCATAAAACTTTAAGAGCCTTCAACGAGCTCCGTGATAAGAAGGCTCAGCTAATCGAGTCTCTCACCTTTCTGAAGAGATGCCACGACTCTAAGACCTGGTCTTCACCGAGGACGGCTGCTTGCGATGTGGCCGAAACGTCGTGAGAATTATTTTATTATGTTTTATTTTTATTATTTTATTATTTCCATTCTATGTGACTTTACCGAAGGAACCAAGAAGATGGTCTTTTACCGTCAGTGGCTTTGGGGGGCTGCTGGAACGATCGGTTACACTTGGACTCGTTCCAAGCCAGAGGTCGAGTCCCCGATCTCCAGGCGCGGCAGTTGAATGAATGAATTTTTTTACTCAAATCACACCCCCGCCCCCTCCGTCTCCTTCGTTATACTCGGCAGTATTTTCAGGGTGCTTCAAATATGTTAACACTTTTAATTTCAGTTGTGTGAGTTTGGGTGTAAAGAAGAATAAATCCCTCGATGATAAAATGAACGGATGATACTACGCTGTAACACAACAGATGTAACGTTAATAGCTTCAGAGAGTCAACATCTCCACTTGTTCGCCATCATTGTCAACGCGTGCCTGGAATCTTTTCCAGATTTCTTGCGGTATTGTTGCAAATTCTCAGAAGTGTTCACATTTTTTTTAAAACACTCTCAAGCACACAGCATTGATATTCAGTGCTTTTTCTGGAAGACTTTGATGTTTTTTCCTGGATTTTTTCTGTTGCGCGTAGTCACTTTAAAGTGTTTCTTGTTCATGTTTGTTGCGGTTGCACCCGATTCAAGAGCCGAATGGCTCACAGGGCTATACCTAATAAATGAAACTGAAAACTGAAAACTTAAATCAATGGGTCCACCCGTCAAACGGCAGGTCACGTGTGGTGGGGTAAAACGTGGGCAACTCGGACTTCTTCACCACGAGCTTCTGGTAAGCGTGGAAGTAGTCGGTCGAGGTGGTTTCCCGAGCCGGGATCTCGGGACTGCGAGCGAGGCATTGGGCAGAGCTGCAGATTTTAAACGCCCTCCACGCGAAAACCACAAACACGACGCGTGCTTGAAATGCTTTCAAATATATTTCATGTTCATTGAGCAACACGCAGTCCCGTGCAGCCGAATCCGAGCTACATTTGAATATATACCCCGCAAGTCACAACGGCAGAAAGCTGTTCGTGTAGAGGAAGTATTGTTTCCGTCTGCACGAAGACGTTCAACCGATTTGCCGGGAGCGGTGGGGCAACGGTGAACACACCGCACTGTGGGTTTCGTTCCGGGCCACGGGCTAGATGCAATGGCGAGTGACATTCCGAAGGCAGTCCTGGGCCCTTCCCTTCACCAACCCGCACCGACCAGCGAGGTGAAGTATGGTCAAACAAGCCCGTGACCAACAAGCTGGAGGCGGGAGTGCATGGTGGGGGGGGGGGGGGGGGGGAAGTCTTCAGCAATATTCTAGATTTGAAGCTTTCGTGACTGCAAGGATTCATTCTTAGTTCTTTCGGTAAAGTCACGTAGGTAAAAAATGAAATTAAAATTAATAAAATAAGAATAATAAAAATCACGACGTTTCGGAGGCAACACAAGCTTCCGTCTTCAGGTGGAACTGTCACAGCAAAAAATCTGTATCACTTGATACAGATTTTGTGTTGCCTCCGAAACGTCGTGATTTTATTGTTTTTATTTTTTATTAATTTTAATTTCATTTTTTACCTACGTGACTTTACCGAAAGAACTAAGAGTATGAATCTTCAGCAATAGATTACCAAAGGGCTGAATTTTTTTTATTAAAGATATATTTGCTTTGGAAAAGTAAAGCCGAAATGAAAACAAACGTGTACCATTGTATATTTTGGTCTACAGATTTAGATCTACCTTTAAGTCCCTCTTTACCAAATCACTCACCCAGTTGTTTACTTTTGGCTTGCAATTGGCAAACACGCAGAGATAGGGTCACGGCATCGGCTAATTGGAATCATTTCATATACTCTTTGGTTCTTTCGGTAAAGTCATGAAGATGAAAAATAAAAAGTACTTTTTATTTATTTGTATTATTATTTTTTTCATCTACGTGACTTTACCGAAAAAAAACCTAAGAATACGAATCCTTGCAGTCACGAAAGCTTCAAATCTAGAAGACACACACACGACGCACGACCCGTGTACTCCCTCGCACACACACATGACGCACGACCCGTGTACTCCCTCGCACACACACGACGCACGACTCGTGTACTCCCTCGCACACACACATGACGCACGACCCGTGTACTCCCTCGCACACACATGACGCACGACCCGTGTACTCCCTCGCACACACACATGACGCACGACCCGTGTACTCCCTCGCACACACACATGACGCACGACTCGTGTACTCCCTCGCACACACACATGACGCACGACTCGTGTACTCCCTCACACACACATGGTGTCGCGTAACCCGCTACGGCCGATGTGGAGTCTTGACAGTTAAAAATGAAGCACATGGAACGTCATTTGCCGTTCTCATTTTATCAGAGGGATTTTTTTCTTTTTTTACACCCAAACTCACACAACTTAAACTAAACTAAACTATTATTTCGATGTAAATCTTTCATGACTGCAGGGATTCATCTTCTTGGTTCTTTCGGTAAAATCACGTAGAATGTAAATAATAATAAAATTAATGTTTTATTTTTATTATTTCCATTCTACGTGACTTTACCGAAAGAACCAAGATGATGAACTATTTTTTTTTTTTTTTACCAGGCAAGGCCCACCGAGCTATATAGCGCCTTTTCAAAAGCGACCTGGCCACAGATGATAGCGCAACGAAGAAGTGGTTTAACTTCTAAACTTGTAAGCCACAGTATTCCACAACGCCCACCCCGGGAGATCACGACTTACACATTCAAGGCTTTGCGTCACCCTAGAATTCAAATAGCTCTCATCTTGTGGCAACAAGTCCACCGTGCCCCATGTATTTACAAGGCATTTCGAAGTCACAATATTGCCTTCATAGGATTTACAAACAAGATTGAGAGGGCGGCGAATGTGCACTATGTATATATAGCTCTCGTACCAAAACGGAAGAGTAGACCCGTGTTCATATGAAGGGTTCTTTCCTTTGCGAACCGGTCAAACAAAAAAAGGTTGGGGGGGGGGTTTGCCAAAAAATAAATCGATACCACAAAACGCATTTTGCAATCACAGCTACCAGTCGGCTTCCGTGCTGTTATAATAATGAAATGCTTCCAAAGACAAAAACACTTGTTGGACAGCGTTTAATATATATAATCTACAAGTATGCATGATGCCCCCCCCCTGCCCCACAACTCGTTTCGCATGAACGTTGACGAGTCGAAAACGACAATTATTATATCCATGAAATTACACAATATCATCGCACACTGCAACATGTATATAGTGACACACACGCGTGTCTGCATAGCAGCCACATGAAACAGCATCCATGCCCCGCGGAGTCTGCACCGAACATGCGACACGGACGCGATGTTCACCCCTAACCACCGTCGCGATTCGATTTCAAGATCGATTTTCTTGTTTTAAAGCGGTCAATATAGGAGCCTTTGGGTGACTGGGTCACGTGAAATCATTTACATAGGGCAAATACGAACGGCCTAAGACAAACATTCATTCGCACGCATTGAGAGTGAACTTAAGGATCAATAATTGGAGCCGTTGAATTGGACGCATTACAGCCAAATTGAACCCCCTTCACCAACCCCGCTCCCAACTTCTCTCCATCGTTGTGCTCCCCGGCGTCACGCGAACACAACGATCCCAAGTCGGAACCCTCACACAGCAGCAGCAGTGCAGGGGACACCTTCACCCCCCCCCCACCCCCTGGGTTCGAGAACGGACCGCGGAAGTGTACATCGCAGCCGAACTACTACCGAGATTACTCAGATCCACAAAGTCGGGGTGCTTACACACAAAAAAATCTTCCGACGCGCCCTGCTATACAGAGGAGCAATGTTGGTCACACCACAGTCAAAATATATCAACGTTTGGTATCTACTCGTACGATCATTTTGTGCAGTCATCATTGGCGACTGTACCGAGACCATCAGCTCGCTACACTCGAGAACTCCGTTTGAAGCCACCATGTGGCCAGCCAGCTCCGACATCTGAGACGTGGCCCACCTCTTTACACTCCTCGTCCGATGCGAACAGCTATAAGAACGTTTACACACGAGTCTACCGCGTTTGCATACATTCTACTCAACATCACTCGTGGGGCATGTAGTCCCCAAGTGCTTTAAATATACTTTACGTGTCCTAGTCAACCAGGTGAGAGGCAATTGAAAAAAACTATACTTTATGCAAGGATATACCATGAATGGCTTATCATTGTGACGATGATGGGCCATATCGGGGTCTTTAACGATCATTGTTTTACAGTGGACGGCGCTTCGGCAATTTCCACGTGAAAAACGAAACCCGAGCGGACATTCAGTGCCCTTGTGCATGGCTTAGCCCACCTCTCTCTGGACATTGTCGTCGTTTTTAAGATTTAGAGCGCTGAGCGGTGCGACCACTGCTCTCCAGCTGTCGCGAAATAACACCGCATGCGTGTCTCATTCTTATTCTTGCGCGACAACGTGCGGTCCATGTAACCCAGATAGGTAAATGCTGATGGTCACCTGCCGAGACTGTTTATACAGCAAAGTAAGGGCAGCTACGTGGTGGAGCAGTGGTTAGCGCAATGCGCTACGAACCCGGCCGATTTAAGTTAGACTCCTGGCCACGGTACAACATGGGCGGCGAATGATAACGGAAGCCGGTCCAAGGTTTACCCCTTCGCCAACCCACATTTCACTGGCGTGGTGAAGTATGGTCAAACAAACCCTTGTAAGCGACACGGCGTGGGGTTGGGTGTCTTCCAGGCAGTGTTGGATTGACTCAGGGCTGCTGTGGCGTCGTGATGGGAAGCTTACGGGAAACTCGAAGCGCGGAAAATGTGTCGCCATCAAAATCGCAACTAACACATCAACACGGGAACGCCAAGCAAACACAACACGCGTTAAATTTCGATTTAAAGCTTTCGTGACTGCAGGGATTCATCTTCTTGGTTCTTTCGGTAAAGTCACGTAAAAGGGAAGTAATAAAATAATAAAAATATATTATTATATTATTTTATTATGTTTTCTTTTTATTATTTTATTATGTTTTCTTTATTATTTTATGTTTTCTTTTTATTATTTTATTACTTCCCTTCTACGTGACTTTACCGAAAGAACCAAGAAGAAGAGCACGCGTTGTCAATGCGATGCTTTCTCCCGAGCGCTGAGAGGACGCGGCCGTGACAATGACGAAACACGGGTTGCGTGTAGATGGATGGGCGCCGGGGGGGGGGGGGGTTGACGGGGGGGGGGGTTGACGGGGGGGGGGGGCGATGACGCGATGAGGATTATAATGAAGGGAAGATTGATGAGCCGAAGGGAAAATGCATCGAAAGGATGGACGCGAGGATTATAAATAATGATCATGATCAAGAGTGATTGATGACCGATGGGAGGATTAGTATCATGGCGATACGGTTGATGAATACGATTTGCGGATGACTGATGAAAGAGGATGCGCGCTTACGGGTTTCAGTTTGTATAAAATGACAAATTCAGCTAACGCATAACAATTGGTAACATTCACTACATTTAGTAAACAATTACCAATTGTTGGCTAACGATATAGGGGCCAAATTACAATTGTTGCAAGATTATTAAGGAGCCAGTTTTACGAGTCAGCGGTGATCAATGTCCATCAGATGGAGCATGGTGGGGGGGGGGGGTCTTGAAGATAACCAACCAATTAGGGACCACAATCACACAGCACCTCTTTTCAGCTCCACCACCACCATCATCATCATCATCATCCCAGGTAACTATTGCAAACGAGAGTCATCCTGGTCTCCCGAGTTCTCACCTGGTTAAAAAAAAAACAACCATCGCCCCTCTCCAACGTGAACTTGAAATTTAACAACAACAACACCCACCACGACCCACAAACCGGCATCAACCCTCAAGCGTCCGTGCCGGGCAGAAGCTTCTTGGTGCTACCATCCTCCTCCCCCTCTTCCTCCTCCTCGGAATCCGAATCGTCCTCGCTGTACGCGAAGTCGTCGTCGTCGTCTCTGGACGTTCTGGCGAGCAGGTGCGAGTAACGCACGCGCGGCTTCCGGCACAGCAGCTGCACGACGGCAAAGATCACGGCCCACGTGGCCGTGCCGACAGCGCACGCTCGGAACAGCACCTCGTAGCCATAGCCGGCGACGAGCACACCGCTCGCCACTCCTCCGGCCGCGCAGCCGAGGCCGTGGCACAGCGCGAACAGGCGGTCCCTCCCGATCACCCACGCGACTCCTTCGGGTCCCAGGTGTCCCTCGGTGCTCGCTGCGCCCCCGGCGCCAACCTGGCTCCGCTCCGAGTGGCGCATGGATGAGCTGCGCAGAGCCGGGCCGCCCAGCACGGAGAGGAGCTGTGCGGGCAACACCAGCCACGGCGCCGACGAGACGAAGGAGAATGCGCCCAGCTGCCCGGCGGTGCAGGCGAGGGCGAGGAAAGCCGAGACGCCGGGCGGCACGCGAGGCGAGCAGACGGCGCAGCGGGTGCACCGCGGCGAGGCGGTCGCTTCGTCATCGGCTGCGTGGGAGCACTGCGAGGTGAAGAACACCGCCTTGGCCAGGCACGCCGCGGCCACGGAGGAGCCGAGCAGCAGCTGCGTGCCTCCCGCGTCTTCGAGGTGCCAGAAGAGGAAGTTGTCCACGGACACGGCACCGACTCCGGACACGAACGCCGCGACGAGGTAAGCGACTCCGCGGACCCGCTCACGTCTCGCCACGGCGCCATCCAGCAGTTGCTGGGAGGTCTTCTCGGAGTGGGCGACCTTCGTCGACGGCGATGAAGACGACGGTGACGACGACGACGGCGATGATGACGACGAAGGGTAGAAGAGCGCTGGCAGCATGGCCAACGAGGAGCCGAGCGAGAACGCGTAAAAGTGCACGGTCAGTCTGCTCATCCCGAGCGCGATGATGCAGTCCAGGTGGGCCACGACGGCGCAGACGCCGAACACCGCCACGGCCGCCGCCACGTAGCCCGCCCTGCGACCCAGGGACCCCGAGTAGCGGGGCCACGAGGCCGGAGCGAGCGCGGCCACCGCGGCCGAAGCGCCGCCGTCGAGAGCCGCGGAGGCCGCTCGCTTCCTGATGTAGGAGCGCAGAGAGCTCCGGCTCGCGGCCTGCACCGTGGACAGGCACACCCCGGCCGTGCTGACGGCCAGGAGGACGTAGAAGAACGCGGGCTCCTGCAGGAACACGTCGCGTAGCAGGGCGACCCCGCGAGGAGTGCCCGACGTGACCGAACCGCGGTCGCTCACGTTCACTCCCCGCTGCTGCTGCTCCGGGTGGGTGGTGTTCGCGGTGGACGCGGGTGCTGTTGGTGGAACAGCGCTGCTGCTGCTGCTGTTGTCGACAGCTGGCAGTAGCGCTGCTGATGACTCCCGCAGAGTGCTGTTGGACGTCCACGCGGTAGCGTTGGGCTGCGGCGTGGTGCTGCTGCTGCTGCTGTTGGTGTTCGCTTTGGGTCTCGCAAACGGCCAACCGCTGCGATGAATATCAGAAGCAGGTTCCACCACCAGTGTCCACCCGGTAGCGCATCCTTCCGTATCTGCGTTGTCCCCATAGCGATGATCTTTTAGACGGCCGGCAGCAGCAGCAAGAGGAGAGAGCGCTCCGTCATCACCAACACCGTAGCCGTCCGGCTTGATGGCCGTCAGACTCAAATTGGCCGCTACGGCCACGAGCAGGAAGGCCACCATCCCAATTCGGAGGCCGCTCGCCGAGCCCGCCCAGCAGCGGCTCAGCAGCGGTGCCAGGCCGAGCGCGAGCAGAGAGCGCACCGCCGAGATCACCCCGAGAGCGTCGGCGCTGATGCCCAGGTGCCTCAGGTAGATGGGGATGAAGGGTAGCAGGCAGCAGAGGGAGGCGCGGTACAACACCTCGAATGAATTGGCCACGGCCAAGGCGCGGCGCACGCTCCGCGATTTTGAAGCCATTGGGTCCCCGGCGGTGTTTATGTATTTTTTTTGTTATGTGGATGTGTGTGTGCGTGTGTTAGAGAGATGTTGTTTGAAAATAGAGTCTGCTTCCGATTGTGGCGGTCGACGACGACGACTACAGCTGGATGATGCCAACGCGTGCCAATGGCCAACTCGGCCGTCGTACGCGCGTAAAAGTTTAAGCAATGGATGTCATTAAAGACTTGGCACAAATGCTCTTCTCCGTTCTAGCTCGACGCTTCTTGGTCAAGGCTGTTACCGCTCGGATGTCAACGTGCCCTCTTGCGCTCTCACCAACCGACCGTCACCTGCGCGAGAAACATCGGACAGCGAGAACATCAGCGGCGAGCGCACGACTTTAAATCCTGCGTGGTGCCCATGGTCGCGTGTCGCGTCACTGCAGTGGCTTGCGCACTCACCCACACACCCACGCACACAGACACCCACCCACGCACACAGACACCCACCCACCCATGCACAAACACCCACGGGCCCACCCACGAGAGCACGCATCTAGCTGCCAGCTTAATTCCATCCGTCCGCGCGAGCGAGAGACGGAGAGACACGGCAGCAAGCCCTGGCGTTACCAAATCTCCGAGCGCGTGACAATTGTTTGACCGGGACACGGTGGCAAGCAACGGTGGAGTCTTCTCCGTGGTCAATTTCTACTCTTTGGGTGGCGATTCACTCCCGAAGAAACACGCCACGCGCACCGAAACTTACCGCGCAAGATCACGGGGGTGGTGGTGTAAACACCGCTCCGCACGAGGCGAGCACAGGCTGTCCCGACAGCCCTCGAGAAAACTCGATAGATCAACCTTTTCTTTTTTCTAACAAAGCAGCGGAGGAGGACGAACGCGGGTCGCCGGTTCCACCACACGGAGCGCAAAGGGCGCGGCTCTGCACGTCCCAGCAAAGTCTTGATCGCCCCCACTCCTCGAGCGAAAGAGAGAGAGAGAGAAACGCCCCACTCCGACTCCGCACTTGCAACCAATTAATAATCACCCACACGCTCCCACCCCTCCACCCCAACGACTCCCCATCCCCGCTCGAGTTTCAGACGTGCTAATTGCATTGGCGGGCGCACGTGTGGTGTGTCCTCCCAATAGGTTGACTCGGCATTAAACGGGTTACCCGGCATAGGCGAAGTTTGACTTTTCGATTTGGGGGGGGGGGGGGGGGGCAGGGTTTCGCTTTGTAGCCCACATTAGGAATCGCGGGGGCATATCATTAATTGATATATGTTTTATGTTAATTATAAAGTACTGAAAATAAATTGATAAACGTGCCCAGTTGATCCCCCCGTGCCCCCCCCGTGCCCCCCCGTGCCCCCCGTGCCCCCCCCGTGCCCCCCCGTGCCCCCCCCGTGCCCCCCGTGCCCCCCCGTGCCCCCCCCCCGTGACCTCACTTCGCAACCTCAGCCCATGGTAGCTGGTGCAGTGTGTAAACCTCATCAGCACTGGGGAGACAAAGGCAGTCGGGCGTGGTGCTGGCCCCCCCACACTCCTTGTGTGCCCTACCCGGTGTGCCTTCTCAGGTGCTACTCGCCAACAGAACTTGCCCCAACTCTCTCTTAAGGCTACACGGGAGATCTTTGTCTTTTGTATGGAGCGTCCACCCTGCCACCCACACAACCCACCTACCATCGCTTCGTTATCGCCTTTTAAATAATGGTGGGAAAAGTTCAGACTGGTGATGATCACCACCATCATCATGTGACGATGGTGTGGTGACTGCAATCTTCCTCGCCGCTGATCGGACGGCGACGAGATTACAATCAGGCTGCTGATACCAAACTCGTTAGTCGAGCGTGTAATCAGTCGTCCAGCCGGCTGCAATAACGTTCCAAAGACACAAAGGTCCCCCGTATAGCCTCCAACAGACTGTTGGGGCAAGTGCTGTTAGCGCGCAGCACCGACGAAGACCGGGCAAGGCACCACGAGGGGGTTGGGGGGCCAGCACCCCGCCCCGGCCACCTTTGTATCCCTAGTTATGATGTCGATACACCTCGCCTGGTACTTATTTGAGACTGAGTCGACAAACAAAGACTAAGATCCCCGTGTAGCCTGTAGCAGACTGTTGGGGCAAGTGCTGTTAGCGAGCACCTATAAAGGCCAGAACGGCACACGAGGGGGTGGTTGGCCAGCACCACGCCCGGCCGCCTTTGTCTCCCCAGTGGCGATGTTTAAACACCGCACGAGGTACTCATTTGAGGCTGAGTCGACCTAGGGGAGGCCCAGGATCGGTTAAAATAATTGTCACTAATTTTAGCCGTAAGCGGCCAATCGAACTCGGGTCGCCAGGTTCGTAGCGCAGCGTAGCGCTAACCGCTACACTACCGCTCCCCACTGCACATTGCCCTTCGTGTTAACGCTCATTTATTCAAAAGCTGGCTTGGCTGTGGATGAGGTGGGAGTGCGTGTGGCACCTTGCGTCGACACACGCACACGCACGGACACACACGCACGGACACACACGCGCGCACACGTGCACACACGCACACACGCACAGGTGCCACGCGCACCCCCACCTCATGCACAGCCAAGCCAGCTTTTGAATTAATGAGCGTTGACACGAAGGACAATTTGCAGTAGAGGCGGGATTCAGTACCCACGAGTGCTTAAAATGGATCAATTGCGTTGTGCTGTGAAGTGTTCGTGCGTGTGGACGGGACACAAAGGCGGCCGGGCGTGGTGCTGGCCACCCACCCCCTCGTGTGCCGTTCTGGCCTTAATTGGTGCTACTCGCAAAGCGGCACTTGCCCCAAAAAAGTCCGCTAAGGCTACACGGGGGATCTTTGTCGCGATCAGCCTCGTACCTCTCCCTTCTGGGTTCACGTTTGCAAGACGGCGGGAACAATCTCGACTTAAAGCTTTCGTGACTGCAGGAATTCATATTCCTTGGGTCTTTCGGTAAAGTCACGTAGACAGGTTCAAAGAAAATAACAAAAATAACAACAACTACGACGTTTCGATCGCAACACAAGCGTTCGAACGCTTGTGTTGCGATCGAAACGTCGTAGTTTTTGTTGTTATTTTCTTTGAACCTATCTACGTGACTTTACCCAAAGACCCAAACAATAAGATGGTGAGAATTTAAATCGACGGATCTCATCCGGGGATGTGTCATGCAATGTACGGCGTTTTACAGCAGAGGGAAATTCAGCCACATCCGTCGTTGGGCGGTACTGCTATGCTCCCGCCTCTCCGCTCTCCCCCCGCACGGCGTGGGGAGGCGGTAGGGAGCTAGCTACACGCAGCGACCGATATTTTGTGTTGATATTTGTTTCTGTCGTGCAATTGAAGCCGTGCAATTGAAATCGAATTCAAATAAACAGACCTGTTCTTCACCTGAGGATGGCTGCTTGCGTTGTGGCTGGAACGTCGTGAGAATTGTATTTTATTATGTTTTATTTTTCTTATTTTATTATTCCCCTTCTACGTGACTTTACCGAAAGAACCAAGAAGAAAAAAACACAGTCCGTTGTCAATCCACTGCTGGATGAAGGGCCTCCCCACGCCGTGTCGATCATGAGGTCGAGTATGACCGACCATACCTCGCCATGCACGTTCAGATGTCACACGCTATAGCCGTGGCCGCGAATCGAACTCGGATGAAATACGAGTTGTCGATTGGTTCCACAACTGTTGTCGAAAGCACAACCAGTTTATATTTCTAGATTTTAAGTTTTCGTGACTGCAAGGATTCATACTCTTTGGTTTTTTTCGGTAAAGTCACGTAGGTAAAAATTAACATAAATTAAATCACGACGTTTCGGGCGCAACACAAGCATCCTTCTTCAGGTGGGGACAACTTAGCGAAAGCACAACCGCTAAGTTTTCCCCACCTATAGAAGGACGCGCACGAAACGTCGTGATTTAATTTATTTAAATTTTCACCTACGTGATTTTACCGAAAAAACCAAAGAGTATGAACCAGTATATATATTTTTGTGTTTCGCAAGTTGACTGTCCGGTTGATTGGTGGTGGGGTCACACAGAGGGTAGGCACCTTGGCTCGCTTGACCCGTTGTGGCGGAGAGCCAGTCACGAGGGAGCGTGAGTCAGTGAGTTGTGTGTGTGCAGGAGCTTCACCCCCCATCTCATGCACCAGCAGGAGCGGACTGAGAATCCGTCATCAATTCACCCGCGTGTCAAGCGGTCGCGTCGTGCTTTAGCGCACCGCGCTACGAACCCGACCGCCTGGGTTCGATTCCCGCTCACGAACACCGCCGGCAACGATTATCCGAAACGGTCCTGGGCCTCCCCTAGGTCGACTAAGCATCAAATAAATATCTGGTGCGGTGCGTTAAAACATCGCCTCTGGGGAGACAAAGGCGGTCGGGCGTGGTGCTGACCACCCAGCACTTGCCCCGACAGTCTGTTACAGGCTATGCGGGAGGGGTTGGGGAGGGATGGTTGGTGCGTAGGAGCGACACGCCCTGCGCAATCACCAGCAGGAGCTGAGTGACAATTCATCATGAAATTCACTCGCTGCGTGACTCACAGCGCCGGGTCACATACCCGGTCAGCGTTTATACGATTGACCATCATCGGTTATCGGGGCCTGACCGCTTTTTAAATCCTTTATATTAAGTTCGCTTCCTTGCTTGCTTGCGTGCTTGCGTGCTTGCTTGCTTGCTTACGACCGTGCAAACCTTTCGGTCGTTTGTTAACCCACTTCCCGTGATCCAATCGAGCTGACATTTTGCACACAGACTCGTTGTGCGAGACAATTAATGTTCGTGAAATTTTTTTTCCAAAATTTTACATTGTTTAGGGAAAACAAATTAAATATTTAATTACCAATTGTTTAATACTGCAGACAATCATCTGACCCATAGGTGGCAGCCATCTCAAGCCAGAGGACGAGAGGACTCTAGCCGCCACGCATATAAAGGATTTAGAGTGAAAAACTTTTTTTTACGGGTTATACTTATTTGCCTTCACTTCCACCCACCCCACCAAGAGCAAAACGCAAAGTTTCCCGTGGCGATATTTGAGATTTAGAACACGGAGGTAAGACGCGGTTAAATATTCTTAGGTTTTTTCGGTAAAGTCACGTAGGTCAAAAAAAAAATTAATAAAAGTAAAATAAAATAAAAATCACGACGTTTCGATTGCAACACAAGCAATCATCATCAGGTATAAATGAAATAGCAACAAAAAATTCTAACCAGAAAAACTATAGACAGACATATAAGCAGACAGATATCACTAAGATACATAGAGAGAGAGAGAGTAACACAGGTACAGAGAAGGCGCAAATGCTTCCTCTACGCCCACTGCTGGCAGATAGACCTCTCGACTCGAGGCTGCACCTAGAGAGCGATTCGAGAGAGGGAAATTGGTCATCATGTACAGCTCGTTACTCAATCTACTGCTGGATGAGTGAGGGCTTTCCAACATTATGCATGTTGATGGGGGTTATTTGACCATACTTTACCCCGCTGGTCACTGTGGATTGATGAGCACATGGAAAGGTACAGTACAACAATGGATGTTTCGGCACTGTCCTCTTATTATCCACGATGTACAATAATACTCATTGCCGCCATAATCCTCATCATCAACACCACCATTACCAGATGCCTTGCTCCAAATCACAAATATGACAAACAGCTGACCAAAGATGTACATTATTTGTTTAATCCACCAACCATAACGAAAACCCGTCCTCTCAAACGACATAATCCCATTGTACACGTGGCATACAAATAATGAAATCTCATACCGTGGCATTTTGCGTGAAGGGCACGATCAGAACAACTTTTAATAAATGTAAATACGACCTGAATGCATGCATGCAAACGCCGGCTTGTGGTGTCTCTGCTGCCCGTGTTTGTGCAATACAGTGGTGCCTGTGTCAAAGTCACGCAAACTCAAACACGGGGCGACCCGGCCTTGA